TTATGCTAATCATAAATAAGTATACTTTATGGGGCCTATGACAAATATTTTAAGGTGTTACAAACGGAATGACAAAGTTAATAATAATTAATAATAATCCAAGGTGGAGGGTATAAAAATACGTATTTTTTCGACGAATGAGAAATTTGCTGTCAAAACGGTCAAAAATCTTCCCATTCACTGTTTTTCAAATAGTCTTCATCCGTCTTCCAATATAGTCGAACTTTGTAATTATGGAAGGCTAAGCCTTTTTTGGTTGATTTGTCTACTCAAAAATAGTAATTTGTATAAATTATTACCAAATCTTGCTCGATAATCCAAAACTCTAGTAGTTAGAGCGATGAAGAGAGCAAATTTACAGTTGAGTAATTGAGAGTTTTCAAATTCTCACTTGGAAGCTTCTCTCAGTAAGAATTTTCCATTATCATCAGCTGATTGAAAAACACTGTTTTATGGCCGGTGTGAAAATATTTTAAAACTTTAGGCAACCAATTAAATATTTTTTAGATAATAAACATTCATTATTATTGGTGTTTTGAAAATTTAAATTTTGATTCCATTTTCCCAACAATTCAAAAATGTAACGCAAACATTTTGTTCAACATCAGCTGATTTATTGCTGGATGTTTTGCGTTATTGACAAATTTATTATTTCAGTCCTTAATTTGTTCATATAAAACCATTAGCCGGACCAACATGCAAGACACTTCGTGACGAACCGACACATACACACATTTAAGCCATTAGAGATATAGAGGGAGATTTGTTGAAACGATTAAAATATTTAAATTATAATCGTTACGATTTGCGTTGAATAACAATGAAGTTGGCAAATAACGAAAAATGTAGCAAAACAAACGTACAAATCGCTATATATACATACATAAATTGTTATTTTATTTTGACTGCTAACCTTGTGTGTGAACAAAAAAAAAAAAACAAACAACCCATTTGTCACCAAACCAATTGGTCGATGGTTTTAAGATGCCAAATCTTTTGAATTTAAAACACAGGTAAAGGTTTTTTTTTATACCTTACATGTTCTGATAAAACGCATTTTTAAAATTTTTAATTCCTTTAATTAATAAACGGCGTAACTTGAAACAAGTAAAAAAGCAGTAAGTTCGGCCGGACCGATCTTTGAATACACTCCAACATTTAGAACGATTTTGGCAATTTTTCAAAAAAATAAAATCTGTTAAAAATTCTATTAAAATCTTAAAAATACTGAATATAGCCGTTATATTAGGATCTATACGACGACGTAGACCTGCATAGGCAACTTTTGTCATAAACCATTACAATATGCAAATGCGGAACTTGAATAAAAAAATTCCTTGAATAATGTAGCTAAAATCATCAAAATTCCGAATATGGGGAGGTACCGTTATATGGGGGCTATACGAAGACGTGGACTTGCACAGACAATTTTCTGTTATAGGCTGTAGCATTCATTATGAACTTCAAGTACCAAATTTGAAACGATTTCGATGAATAATGTCGTTAAAATCATCAAAATACCGAATATCGGTAGGTACCGTTATATGGGGGCTATATGAAGACGTGGACTTGCACAGAAAATTTTCTGTCATAGACTGTAGCATCCATTACGAACTTCAAGTACCAAATTTGAAACGATTTCGATGAATAATGTCGTTAAAATCATCAAAATAACGAATATCGGGAGGTACCGTTATGGGGGCTATACGTAGACGTGGACCTGCACAGACAATTTTCTGTCATAGGCTGTAGCATCCATTACGAACTTCAAATACCAAATTTGAAACATTTTCGGTGAATAATGTCGCTTAAATCATTAAAATACCGAAAAAAGCAAGGTGCCGTTATATGGGGGCTATACCAAAACGTGGACCTACGTGGCCCATTTTCAATATCAAAAGTCCTGCAGATATAATACACATTTGAGTAAAAATTTGTCAACCTACTTCATTTCGTTCGGAATCTAAAATGTATATTTCGAGGTGTTACAAACGGAATGACAAACTTAATATACCCTCCATACTATGGTGAAGGGTATAAAAACGTAATTTAGGTCTCGGTGTAAGGTAGGCTTAAATGGATAAATATTTATCTATTTTTGTTGAGTTTCCACCAACAAACTTATCTTCCCCATACAAGTCGTTGTTGACGTAACAATTTCCATGTTGTGGCATTACGAAAAACAAACCTTTTTATGGAAAACCGGTTATGCATTTTCACTTACACTTTACCGAGAAAATGTACAGTTTTAAACGATTTTCTTATCTGAAAGAAGGAAAATTCTCAGTAGTGGTGGAGGTAAGGCATGAAAAAAGAGGTCATTGATCGTGACGTCGCCCAAGTTACCTGTTGTGTATGTCGTTGTTCGAAATAAGGGAGACATTGTTTTGGGCCATTTGAAAAATACCGGCTAAAACTGAATAGGGTTTTTGTTGTTTTTTTTTTTCTTTCATTCCCTATGGCGTTACTCATTGTTATTATTACTAGCCTGTCCGTACCCAGTTATTTTCCATCGAAAATTTCAAAACAAAGACCAGTTTTGTGTCATTTGAACACACAAAAAAATTAACAACATTTCTTAACTGCTTACTTCTAGTATTTATTTTTTTTTTTTTTGTTAAGATTCTCTTTTCAGTATTTTGTGTTTTGTTCTCAAGAATATACGTGCTAATTTTTATTAATTCTGAAATCATCAGCAGCGAACTTAGCTTTTGTTTAAAAATACATTTTCAAGTTAAAAAACCGACTTCACTTACCTTGACTGCACTTGCTGCAGCAATTAAAACCACAAATAATCCCACAATTTTTTGACTCATGACTGACTGGCTGATGATGACGATGATTTAAATGCCAACCGTGTTTTTGTGCACAAAACAATTAATTAGAAAGAAAAAATAATTAAAATTTTATCAGACGCTTTTTCGGTGATCCGTGAAATCTTACCGTTCCACTGCGTTGTTCAAAACCAACTGCCACCGCTGACTTTAAGCCGTTGTTTTGTTGCCACAACTTGGGGGGATCTTTTTAAACAACAATAATTAATCAGCCATCTGTAGAGCTTGACGCATTTTCTGGGTTGGGTTCGTTCGTTTGTGGATTCAGAAAAACAAGTTTTGAGTTAAAAATACAATTGGAGAGCAGGGTTAATGCTCTCTCTCTCTTGCTTGAGTGTTGGATAAATCGAAATGAGCGTAAGATAAATTCAGCATTTTAACCCTCTAAAAGGCGTGGATGTATTTTTGATACAACATTCAATATTACTTCCAAATGGTGTTTAATTTCTTATAATAATCTTGCATTTGTGGCTATTCATTTTTTATTTGAAATTCGAGTTATTTAGCATATAATTGGTCTGTTCCTAAACCTGCAAGGTTCTACCAATTTTCCAATATTTTTTTTTTATACCCTTCAACCGATTTCCCATACATCCTCAACCGATTTCCCATACATCCCATATGGCCAATATCAGTCCAAAAGACCTGAATTTAAGTACAACCGACCGAATTCAGTCTATGAGCCAGTACATCAAATTTGGGGAAAAATGGTTCAGATATTGCTATAGCTCCCATACATATGTTTCGTCCGATTTGGTGTTTAAGCCCCTCACATTCGTAATATGCATTTGACAACGCCGGCAAATCTCAAACCCAGATACCACCAGTAACCTAAATTTTAAATATCAGAATTTTATTTATATCTTTTCACTCAATACCGAATATAGTACCATTCAGTACTTTTCGTAAAATTATAGTACACATTTCCGAAACCACCTCTATATTTCCAGGCTACCCTTGAACAATGACATTAATACCAAATTACACATTTCAAGTACTATTTGTTCACCCAGTACCAAATTGTACCAAATATAGTACTATTTAGTACTTTTCCTGCACTTGTAGTACACATTTCTAAAACCACCTCAATATTACAGACCTATAACCAAGAGGGATCCCAATGCCAAAACTTCGAAATTCCAGCTCTATCGGTTCACTCTCTCCCAACTGTTCCAAATTTAGTACCATTTGTACAGTTCGCACACTTAATACATATTTCCAAAACCACCTTCATGTATCAAACTAATATCCAAACTTGATTCTCGTACTCGTTTGTAGCTCTATCCGTTCACATAATACCAAATGCTACCATATTAGAAGTTTAGTACCATTTTAGTACTTTTTGTTATTATTATGAGTTCAAAATTCCAAAAAAAAACATTGGAAAATTTAAAATTTCTAAATCATTCAAAATTCTAGCCCATTACGTTTGTCCAATTCAAAGTATTCAATTTTTGCTATATTTTCGTACGTTTCAGACACTTTTAGTACGAAATTCCATACTTATCACATGCCTACGCACCAAGACTGACCCACGTGCAAAATTTCAAGAGCATTGATTTTCGATAAGTCACTCTGTTATTTCATGGCTCTTTTGTATACATAATTATAATTCTTTTGTATATTGATTACATTTTTCAAAACTTATTTTTAAATTCAAAACAATGTAACAGATTTCCATTTCTGAATACGCTATGCAGTTCATACGTTATACGTTGTCCGTTTGCGATGTGTTACTCATGCAACACGTGACTACCGATTACTGCCAACACATTCATCAATTCATGATGGCGTCACCGGTACTTTTAGAGCGCCGTTGGAATTGATTAGGCATTATTGTGATTGGAATGACAGCAGCTGCCTTTGGGTATGTGTCATGGTAGAAGAATACAGGTAGTCGCTTCGACACAGCTGTTGGGACAATGAACTGTCAAACCGATTTTGGAATTGAAAATGTTGAATGAAAAATTATTAAAATTTGTAAAAATTGTTGAGAAATGCATATTGTAACAACCTTCGATTTGCATCGTATAAGAAAATATATAAAAATCTTATTTTTGACAAAACAATTTTAAAAATTTTACATATCAATGTTCGCAAGTGTTGATGCATCTACCTATATTCTTCTACCATGGTATGTGTAAAACGTACGGTGAGAGTAAACCAATCACACACAAAAAAAAAACGGGAAGAAAAACAACTAGTAATAAACGCCGCCTAACAATAAATTCAGAAATAATTGAAATAATCGTCAAAAAATCTGCTCAATAACTAAATTATAAGAGATAGAGTGAAAATATTCCAATTTGAATGTCAATTTCTAACATTCCCGTTGCCTTTTTTTTTTGTAAATTAAGTTAAGCAACGAAAAGAAACGAAAGACTTCCATCAAAATGACAAATCTACAACGTTGGCTGATGTATTTGATAATGTTCCTTATTCCATATTTTCTTTTGCTATCGTCTGCCATAAAAACGCCCGGACTTCAGGCGTTGTTGGTGCCTCTGCAAGTTTTGCCTTACGTGTTGGTGTTGATGTTCGGCGTAAGTAACTCGATTAGAATGGAAATTAATGCAATTTTTTCGGGATCTAAGTATAGAGAATACATACATTATTCAAAATTTACTTATGTTTGCAGTTTTATGCCGCTGGTACAGTTCTGTATCGTACATTTACATTCAATGATTGTCCCGCCGCTGCCGCCGAATTGCAGAAAGAAATTGAGGAGGCTCGCAAGGATTTGATTACCAAAGGATTTAAGTTTCGTGATTAGGACATCGCCGCCGTTGTCAAATTGGAACCAAAGGATTTTTGAACATAGGACTGGCTTGTTTAGAACGTGTGCGACATGTTTTAGTGGTACTTAGTTATAATTGGGTGATGTTATAAGCAAATAGAGTTAGTTGTCTTTTGATAGTCTTTTTGTAAATTTAATTTAAGATGGAAACGTTTATGAAAATACATAAAGGCGACTAAAGTATGTAATATAATGTTTTTAATAATCATTTTTATGAACTTAATATTAGACTCACACAATTTTTGGTACCAAATGCCCATTAATGCTAATTTCAGAATATTCAGGGAAAATGATTTAGAACATTTGGGTAAAATCGATTGATTATTATTCGAGAATGAATCTAAACAAGCTTTATTGGATCTTAAATGATTATTTGAGTGGATGGAGGTTAAATGATAAGTATAATTAATATACGCCGTCTTATTGGCGCTGTAGAATAAATTTGAATTGGAATCATGGAAGTGTAGAATTACTTTTTCTTTGATTAAAAACATTTAAAATATTAATTCATGATGGTCCTGAGTGTCTATGAATCTCAAGATTATTCCACATTGAATAGATTAATTGATTTCTTTGCCGGCATTTATCCTTTGACTTGCCTGCCCAAGATTGCAAGCAGTAAAGTTTGTAGCCAATGTTGGAATGAGAGTCACTGATGGAGTGCAGGATAGATGTAGATATATTGGCACGAAATGTACTGAATGGTACAACATTTGGTTTTGGGTGAAGGGATAAGTATAGAATCTTCAAATTTCATATTGACGTCTCTGTATCTGGAATTGATATATGGAGGTGGTTTCGGAAATGTGTACTATAATTCTACTAAAAGCGGTATTAGGTTAAGTAATAGAGCTGACATTTTGTATAGCCCCAGCCTCGAGTTATGATTATTCAAACTGTTGAACCTCATAACGAGTCAATGGAGGTTTCGAAGCAGTTGGCCCATAATGATCAATTCGTAACTGACCTAAGGCTTATATAAATAATTCGACGTGACAGATTTCGACTATATCGACTACTTTTTATAGAGTTGCATGCTTATTTCGCTTTCTTTGAGCGTTTTGTTTTTCCAAATTTTGAACCCTATGTGCGGGAAGTACCAGAAGAAGTGATCCGTTCTCTACCATCTTTATAACAGATCTTGTGTTGATAGAAATATTGAGATGCACCATGTCTGAATAGAATTCTATGTTAATTTTGTGTTTAATGAGCTTCATGGATACTCGAAATATTGACCTTTTGTGGGGGAGGTACGAGAGAGAAGTACCGATATATTCCATCTTCACACCAGACCTTGGGTTAATAAAAATATTGTGATGTGCGTAATTTGAAGAGAGCCGGATACTTATTTTACATTTTATTATCGTTTTTGCTTTTCTAAACTTTGACCCTTTTCCATCTTTTTAACATATCTTGTGTTGATGGAAATATTGAGATGTGGCAAGTCTGAGATGATTTCGGGTGTGTATTTCGTGTTTTATGAGCTTCACGAATATTCGAAATTTTGACCTTTTGTGTGGAAGGTACTAGAAGGAGTGGATCGATATAATCCATCTTCACAACAGATCATGGGTTAACAAAATATTGTGATGTGCGTAATTTGAAGATAATCCGACTCTTACATCACATTTTATAAGAGTTTTACTTATTCACAATTTTGACCCTTTGTTTAGGAGGTACTGGATGGAGTGGACCGATATTGTTCAAATTCGCACCTGACCTAGCACTGACGCCATTAGGATTTGGAAAATTGAAGCAAAATCGGATAATCCTTTCTCTTCCTGTGCAGCAAATTATTTTCTTTGAAAATGTTGACATTTTGTGGGTGAGGTACCAAAAGGTGAACTAAGTTTGACAATAATATTACAATTTACCAAGTTTAAATTAAATCGGATGCTCCCTTTGAGAGTTATAGCAGCCTGTATAGCCCTAGCCAGACAGACGGACGGACGGACATTGCTAGATCGACTCCATTATTTCGATGAGGTATGTTTTGGCCGTATCAAACGATATATACACTCTCTAGCCATATGGCTGAGGGTATAATTTCTAAATGTTACTAACTTTGCTATTCATGAATGTTGAGAGCTGGAATCCCTAAATTTAATATTGAGGTCTCTGTTGGTATCGGGGAGCTGGTTTTTTGATATGCATACCGTAATTGGTATAAAATTAGTAATGGGGGAAATCACAGGTCTGAAATCCTGAATATTGATTATGAGGAGATTGTTGGTTTCTAGGGTTTACATATGGTGACGTTGAAATAGTTTGTGCCACAATAATTGGATGTGGGTCAATGCAGCAATCGTTATCCTCCTAGGTAAACTTCAAAATTAAACATTTTGAAGACTTTTTGTTGTAAAAGATAGACATTTTTTACCATTCTTTCCGAAAAGTAAAAAAAAAATTAAAAGTCTGAAAATTCTTTACGGTGCATGAAGTTTTGATTAATTTTTTTTTTGGCATGCTCATGGCCAAACTGAAAAAATTGTGGATTTTGAATAATGAAAAGGCCTAACACGAACTCTTGTTACGAATCTAGAATTTTAGGGTGGACGTTTCGCTGACAAAGTAGCGGGTACTTGCTATTTGTCCATAATATTGTGCACATTCTGATTTTATTTTCACTCTCCATGCAATAATTAAAAAGTTAACGCTTTTCAATCTAACATCAATACAAAATTTATTTATTAAAATACTATAACATACATACACTTACATATCTATAAACGACAATGATATTTACATAAATATTAAATTTTTGTAATAATTATTAAATATGATTGGATGTTGTAGTATCCATTGCTCCAACAGTACAATGTTCATTGCGAAGCAAATTTTTTACTCGGCAACCAATAATTTGATACATGACTTGTTCACCTGCCATAGTATTACCCATAAATAGCTATAAAGAAAAACTCAAGCATTTTTATCAATATTTTTAAATAAAAATCAAAATATTACCTTAGGCTCTGTACTTAAGGCCCACAATTCCTGGTGTTTTTGGCGATGTTTTGTTAATTTCAAACCGGTGATAAAACGCCATTGTTGCGGTCCATAAGCCAAGACATTTAAATTATCCGCCGAATATTTGCGACCCTCCTTCCAACTAACTAAAGCATTCGACCCAATGAGGGTGCAGTAGAGATTACCATAATCATCCATTATCTCCGATTCACATTGCGTACCACGTGAACCCAAAACGGTGAAATATTTAGCTGTGGCTAAAATTTCTTTTGGATAATACCACAACGATTCGTTGTTAATTAAATGTAAAGGTATGCGAACCTCATTGAAGCTATTCAATGAGTGGAAATACAAGTAACGAACTGAAAAAAAATAATATAAAAAAAGGTATTAAAATATAAAGGATATTTCTAAAAGTAATCTTTACCTTGTAATTTGGTATTCTTGGGACTCAAACTGACAGTAAATATACCATCATGAGCATTATTGATCAACGTCCTGTCCGGTTTCATGAGATCATGCTCAATGCGCCAAGATTTATGTTTCAGCATGTCGTAGACAATCAACCCATGGCCCCAAGCATCGGAGATATAAACATGTGTGTGGTTACATTTATCTTCCGACACCACACCTGCCACCATATCTGTGTAGACGGAAATACCAGCTTTATAGTTATTCGATGGAAGTACAAAACGTTGAATTAACTGATCTGTTGTCAAATTGAAGACTAAAATTTGTGGTGGACACCATTGTAGAGAATTTATTTGCCCCGAATCAAGTACCCACAAACGTTGGCATTCATCGATCTAAAATGGAAACATTTCACATTGAATGTTTAAATATTTAAAGAATGTGATTGATATTTACATATGTCCTTAAGGCTGATGTTATGGCCGAACAATTTGTTCCATGGCTATGATGCCACTCATAACTGGGATACGCCTGTACCTTTGGATTTAGTTCTGTTTGATGATCCGCATTCCTTATCGTGGCCAATGAATAGGGTACCCCGAAATTTAGTCGTGGAATTGTTAAAAATGTTCGATGATTACTATTTTCTGAAAGAAAAAGACAAATCAGATACATTTTAAAACCTTTATAGTGTAACGTTTTAAGAAATCCCTGAGCTTTACTGAAGCAATGGATGATCATAAAATTAAAGTCAGCGTAAGGCCCTAAGTTTGCTTAAATTAAACATAAACTTCGTTGTTAAATGTTTGAGCGCACAAATCAGCCAATAAGATGCCGATTAGCGGATATCAGTTTCAGAATAAAAATGGTGATGTAAAATGTATGCCATATGGAATTTTCCTGTTGATGTTAAGAATTGTTTGAATCATGATTGTAGGATATTACTGACTACACCCTTTTGGGAAGCAATATTTCAGATTTTTCGCGGTGCTTTTAGGATGCCGAAGAAAGCATTTCATTTTAAAGTTTCTAATTTTTTGAGCCTGATTCAGCAGCATTTCTTTTTCTGACATAATTAAAAAATACGCTCACGTGCTGCCGAAATTTTTGGTTAGTTTTTTATTGGGCTTACAATCGTTACTTGGATCTGGTTTCTTATACCCTCCACCTTAGTATATGGGGTATATTAAGTTATTGTTAATATTAATTAAGCAGAACAAAATTTCGTCGGTCTATCCAAATGGGGAAATCACCTTATCTTCCTAACAGAATGAAGTAGGTTAATTAAATTCTGCTAAAATATATGTTAGGTACTTAAAGTGTATGATGTAGCTCCCATACAATGATACTTGTCAATTTATGATAAAGTAAAACTCGATTTTTGTTATTTTTATGATTTTAGAAATATTTTTTTCACAAAATTGTTTTAAATTATGATCTGAAACTCAAGATTAAACTTCGGCTTTGCCGAGCTTAACATTTATTTTTACTTTCACTTGTTTTGCCACAGTGATTTTTTTTGAATAATTCCTGCGGAAGATATCTCCATTCAAAAGCCATCTTGTAAAATTAGTGTAGACGAAGGAATGTTGGTTTATTTTTGTTTTATCCACATGGCTCTCGGCACGCTTTTGCATAGCCAACATGCAGATTGAACCAGTTAACCTACTCGAATTCAAAAACACATTTCTCCGTTTTTAGGAATTGCATTTGATTCTTGATCATTATACCTACATTACCCTACCTGACAAATATCCTACAGTTTTTTATATTCTTAACATTTTAAATTTGAGTGACTTCAATATTTCCACTCTACCCCTGAAACGACATAGACGACATTTGTAGTAGTAGAGTAGTGAAATAACTAACTGATTGAAAATCAGCGCCCAGAAGGGCAGTCTTGGTGCGTAGGCATGTGATAATAGAGGTTTTTTGGAAATTCGTACGAAAAGGGTATGAAAAGTACTAATATTGAAATACTTTGTGTTGGACAAATGGATTGAGCTAGAATTCTGAAAATTGGAATGAGAATCACTGATGTATTGCAGGATAGATCTACCAAAGGCTTTTTGGGAAATCGAACTTAAAGGTTACGAAGAGTTCTAAAATGGTACTAAACTACTAAAATGGTAACATTTACTATTATGTGAACGGATGGAGTTAAAAACTTGACATTTGGTACGAGAATCAATATTTGATATATGAAGGTGGTTTTGGAAATGTGTACTAAGTGCGCGAACTGTACTAAATGGTACTCTAAAATTATACTAAACTTCTAAAATGGTATCAATTGGTATAATGGTAACGGATAGGGCTAAAAACTTTGAAATTTGGAGAAGTTTACTTTTAGGTAAACGGATTAAGCTAAAAGAGATGGTTTTGAAAATGTGTGAGAACGGATACAGTGGAATGCTTAAATTTGATATTTAGATTACTGATGAAATCTGTGTTTGAGATTGGGCGGTGGTTTGAAAATGCGTCCAATATTTGTACGAAAAGTACTAAAGTTGGCTGGGCTCGAATCCTGAAATTTAATATAAATGTCACTGTTTGTGTCTGGTGTTCAGATCTACTGGTGGTTTTGCAAATCGGCACTATAATTGTTCCATTTTTGGCGTCTGGGATGTAGAGTTGTAGATTGTTTTGGATATGCGTAGTAACTGTTACTAAATTTGATATTGGGTGACGGTATAGACTTTAAATCCTAAAATTTGTATATGGATGTCACTATTGGTGTCTGGTGTTGGAGAAGAAGCAGTTTGTTTCGTGTTATAAACGTGCGAACAGTTAAATGTGCTATAAAATGTGCCGTTGGGTGTTGGGATAGAGATGGAATTCTGAAATTTGTTATCGACGTCACTGTTGGTGTGAGGAAGGTGGGTTTGGTAATAATTTTGATATTGGTTCTTAAGATAAGCTGGAATTCTGAAATTTGATATGGAAGCCACTGTTGGTATATAGTTTTGAGAAAAGCTAGTAAATTTGGAAATGCGTAGTATCATGTTACAATAAAAAAAGAAAAATATTGAATAAAAAAAAAAAAAAACAACCTGTTGAATCGAATGTTTAATAATTCTGACGGAAAGCAGGCATAGCCTTTGGTTACCTCCTTATTGAACCATGTGTTTTATGAAGTTTGGTTTTGAAATTTTGTCGTAGAAATAATTAACAAATTGTGCATTTTAAGTACTAAATTGAACTGGTGGAATGACTTTAAAATTTTAAGGTGGAAATTTATTTTCAACCTCTAACAGAAAATGTTTCAGATCGTAACTTTTATCGTGACTTGGAAACATTAAAAAGAAAATTTATATCTTAGATTCATGTTAAGACTGAACTTCTTATAAACACAATCCTCTTACAATTATATTATGTTTCAAATTATAAGAAAGTAATCCGGTGCAATGGATTCTCCCCTCTGCGAATAGTTGAAAATGTCGATAAATCGGTTTTAGATATTTCGCCGAATTTAAAAGAAAATTGAGTGATCATGGTCACATTAACAAATATTTTTTTGATTCGAATCTCTTCCGATTCGAATTGATTGATCAAGTATTTAATGCCATAACAAGTAATGCCAGAGCAGAGCCATGAACATATACCCGGCTAATCTTTTTGAACGTAAGGCATTAAATTTTATAATAGTTTTAAAATTTGTCTCTAAAAAATTTGAAATTACAACTTCTATCCTTTTTTTAACATGGGAGAGAACGAAATGTACTCTCATACAATCACAATTAGTTTTTTGAAGTACCATCACTGACAATTTTTTTAATTTCTACTCCATCAAGGAGTAGGTGCAAGGATAAGTATGGGTCTTGCTTGAATAAAGTCCGTTGCGAAATATTCCGTAATATTTCGATTTAATTTTTTTATTTTTTTACTGCGAGATTTTTCTACAACATCTTTATAGTGTGATTTTTAATATGATTATTAAAAATTACCAAAATTCGGAATCTATTAAATTATTTATGACCATATCTGTGTCCACGGTAGTTCTCACAGTACGCATAAAAATATATGTTTTTGTTAGTCATTTTTATTCAAATTTCTATTGCATCGACCCATCATTAACTGTAAGGACATATGTTCTCCAATTTGGCCATGTGCTGCATATTTCACCAACGAGATTATTTACGATTTCGATTGATCCAGAATTTCGAATAAATGTTGACACACTTCATATTTATACATATATACCTTTATATTCAATATCAATATCCACTGGTAATTGTATTCGATTCAAGTCATAATAACCGGCACTTATGGCTGCACTGCGTTCGCTTTCACTGGGGAATGTCAGTTCAATGCCCCGAGTCCATTTGTGCAATGTGTAGAATTGTCTCTGTTTCAAACGATTGACATTTTCGCTGGCAAATACCAGATATGAAAATATTATTTCAATTAAAACGAAAATTTTGAATTTTAACATAATTTTTTTTGGTTTAACGCGATTCGATTTCAATCAAATTCAAAGAACTGCCTGCGATAGGTCTTTACCACACCTTTGTTGGATGACAACTGAACATGCCACAGAGACGAAAGGTAAGACATTTACTCATGTCGATGCTCTTGGCTGCAACATCATGAGCTGCGGGATGCCATTGTTTGCAACGAATCTCGTAAAACAAAATCGAAATCTCAAATAACCATTTCCAAATGCATTCAACCTTCAGAGGCATCCATCTAATAAGAAGATCGATGCCCAAAAGACCGACCGATTGTCAAAGAAGTGTGTGTGTGTGTATGTATGTAGGCATACACATACATCATCGGAGGTGTGGAATACAACACAGTGGTGGAGATATTCAGGTATGTGATGGAAATCATTTCGAATCGTTTTGGCATAAATCTATATTTTTATACCCTCAGCCATATGGCTAGAGAGGATATATATCATTTGATATGGCCAAAATGTGCCTCATCGAAATAACGTTTCGAAATACGTTTCAGGACATTTTGAGTCGATCTAGCGATGTTCCTCCTTCCGCCTGTCTGGCTGGTGCGCACGATAACTCTCGAAGGCAGTATCCGATTTGGTTCAAACTTGGTACATCGTATTGTTATTGTCAAACTTAGATCGAGTTCGGAGATGGGCAATGTCGGTCCACTCCTTCTGGTACCTTCCACACAAAATGTCAATATTTTAAAAGAAAATATTTTACTGCACAGAAAGAGAAAGGATAATCCGACTTTGCAAACCTAATATTTCATCAGTGCTAGGGCAGGTGCAAAAATCGAAAATATCGGTTCAGGTACTTGATGGAGTACCTTCCCCACAAAGGCTCAACATTTTGAATAATCATAACTCTGACATAAGAGTCCGAATGTCTTCAAATTACACACATCACAATATTTTTACTAACCCAAGGTCTGGGTAAACTCCTTCTGGTACCTCCCCCATAAAGGGTAAAATTTTGAGTATCCATAAAGCTCATAAAACACGAAATTAACATCTGATTCCATTCAGACTTTGTATATCTCAATATTTCCATTAACACACGACCTGTTATCAAGATGATCCAGATTGGACCATATCTTCTGGTACTTCCCCCAAACAGGGTTCAAGATTTTCGAAAAACAAAACGCTCAAAGAAAGCGAGATAAGCATCCAACCCTCTTCAAATTTCACACATCTAAATATTTTTGCCAACCAAAGATCTGTTGTGAAGATGATATATATCTGCCAACCCATTCTGGTACCTCACCCACAAAGGGCCTCAATTTCCATTTTAAAACTTTAACAAAAGATTGGACAATGCCATGTCCGAAAATGCTATAACGAAATGTAATTAAACTTACGAACTCATATCATTCATCATGTTTTTAAGCTTAATTCCTTAATAAGCAAAACTGTGCAATAAAAAACTCTCCCACTGTGTTTTAGCTCTCAACTGAAATTCACACACATAGCACTAATTCGTTCCGGCTTGACTGTTTGTTGGTCAGACATAGAGAGGAAGAAACCCTTTTGTACCTTCTGTCCGCTATTTGCTCGTTCGTTGTTTGACGAGCCCTCCCAGTTTGTCGTTTTGTTTATTCAGACATTCGTTGACTCTAACAGAAGACCCACTGTTAGACACTTGTGTACATGTGTGTGTGTGTGTGTGTGCGGCAAAGAAATGATAAAATGTCTTGTGTAGTGATCCTTGATCTTGACTACACTTGTCGATACCGAAAATTCCCAGCAGACCTTTGTTTGCTCTTTGCGAGTGCATATAGGCGCTAACAAGGCCTAATTGACTGTTTATGCCGCTTTGTCTTTCGAATGCTCTTGGGAATAGAGTTCAGTGTAAGTTTACAGTGCATTTCATGAGAAAACCAGAAATATAAGGTGAGTACGATAAGCCAATAATTTGTGAAAATCATTACAACATTTTGTGTCCAGTCTGTCTGGCGGAGAGTGAAGAGAACAATTTTGACACTTGTGTTGCAAATTCTTACTGGGGATATATTAGCTCTATCTGATTACTTTTTCTACAAAAATTGTCTAGCAATTTATTTCTAAAAGAGTAATGTTTAAGCTATGGAAAGTAAACAGATAATCAGCTGATTTTTCAAAACAAAACAACTTATCCCCCATAAAAGGAAACAAAATAGCGGGCATTTGCCAGACCCGCTACTTCGTCAGCGAAAAGTCCACCTTAAATTTTAAGATTCGTTCCAACAGTTCGTGATAGTCCTGTTAAGTACTCAAAATGCACAATTTGTTCAGATTGACAAAACATTTTAATCAAAACTTCATACATCGTACTATTTTTTTTAGTAAAAACCTTGATCCAAATTTAATAACTTTCGTACAATTATAGTACACATCTCCATATCGCAATCGCAGATACCAACAGAGACATTAATATCCATTTTTGGGATTCCAGCTATATCCCTTCATCCAATACCCAATTTAGTACCACTTAGTACATTTCGAACAATGTTTGTACACATTTCCCAAAACCAGCTCCATATTTCAATTTCAAATACTAAGATAGACTTTAATATTAAATTGGAGGATTCCTATCCCTATCCATTACTTTTCCTACGAATATAGCACACATTTCCAAACCACCGCCAAATTTTAAAAACAGATACCAATAGTAATCTAAATATCAAATTTCAGAATTTTATCTTTATCCCTTTACCCAATACCAATTAAAGTACCATTCAGCACATTTCTTACAATTATAACCTCATTTCTGAAACCACATCTTTATCACAAAGCTACCACCAAAAGGGATCCCAATAACAATATTTCAAAATTCAGCTTCATCCGTTCAACCTAAACCAAATTATTCCAATTTAAATACTATTTAGTACTCATAAGTACTAATTTCCATAACAACCTGCATCATAGAATCTAGTAGGAATCTTATTTCCCAATTTCAGAATTCCAACCCTTTCGGTTCGCCCACACAGTACACATAAGTACGAATGTCCTAATCTTGCACTCCAATAGAAATATTATTTCCAAATTTAAGGATTCCAATTCTATCGGTTAAACCAAACCAAAATTTTACCAAATTTAGTACCATTTAGTACACATAAGTACGAATTTCTAAATCTTCCTACATACCCCAGTCTTACACTCTAACAGTAATCTTAATTCCAAATTTCAGGATTCCAGGTCTATCGGTTCGCCAAATACAATTTGTACTGCATTTGATAACATTTAGTACACATAAGTACGAATTTCCAAAACTTAATACATATCCTAATCGTAATTCCAAATTTCAGGCTTCCAACTCCATTGGTTCTTAAATTTTACCAAATTTAGTACTTTTTAGTACACATAAGTACGAATTTCCAAAACTTCCTACACACCCCAATCCTACAATGCAAAAGTTATAATATTTCCAAATTTCAGAATTCCAACTCCATGGGTTCTCGCTTAACATTAATAGTATCAAATCTACTACTATTTAGTACCTTCATACCTCAGTCTTGTAATGCAATAGTAATATTTAGTACCATTTAGTTCACATAAGTTCGTGCATATAAGTACAAATTTCGAAAACTACCTCCATATCCAAATACTACACTCCGTCAGTAATGTTAATTTCAAATTTCAGGATTCCATCCTCATTCGTTGCTCTAAATTCAAATTGTACCAAATTTAGTACAGTTTAGTACATTTCGAATACGTGAATACACACTTCCAAAACTACCTCCTTACATCGACAATAATCGTCAAACTTGATCTCCTTTCTAAATTTCAAGATTTTAGCTTTAATCACGACATGAACATGATACGAACTGGTATAGTATATGTTAGTACTTATGCAATTTCCAAAAAAAAATAATAATAAATAAAACCTTTGGGACATTTATATAAGATCATCAGCGACCCTCATCCCAAATTTAATTTCTAGCCCGACTGGTGTTTCAATTACAAAGGGTACCATATTTAGTACTTTTCATACCATTCTAGTACGACTTACCGAAAATCACGCCTCATCTGACACCTTTGGACCAAGAGAGAAACTGACCCAAATTTTCTTCTGTTGGAAGACCTTCGACCTTGGCCTTCTATGAGAAGATCGTCGGGTCTTCTATGAGAAGACCTTTGGCTCGTCTATGAGGAGACTTTTGGGTATGAACCTGTGTAACCACATTAGTATCGCTAATTGCTTTGTTATTTTTATGATCAGCTGTTATATTAGAAGCAGAGAAAAGTTTGTATTTACTCACAGAAAATTCGTACCTGTACAGTTCTGTTATAGGAGAGTTAATTTTCATTAAATGTACTGTCATTTCGAGATGCTGGTGTATTTAGTTTGAAATCTTGGTTTGGAAAACATTTCTTCTCCCCCTCAGTTGAAGCCACTGTTTGTTCTTCCCTGCTGAGTTTTCATGTTTGATGTTGTGTGTTTGTTTGAGTTGTTAGTGGTTGTCACAGACTGTTGATTTTGTTTTCAAGCACAATGAAACATACTGAGAACTATGGTCCAATAGACCAATATTGAAACTATTTCCCGTCAATGAAAAAGTTCTAGGAAAGATAAATGTATATTCTTGAATTTAGGTATGATGTTCCATATTGTTATGGCTGTAACTAAATAAAATCCAAAATTGGGAGATTGGCTTGTAACGTGCCAGTAAATATGGTTATATTTATTTCTTCAAAAAACAGTAAGGAAAAAGACAAAAGACGGGCGTGGCCGACCCAGTAACAAAAGAATTTATTTGGCTTTAGAGCAGTTATAGTTTGGTTTTAGGGGCAACTAATATATGGGAGGAATATCCAATTCTGAATCGAATTTCACTAAATTTGACGGATATATTTTAATATTTTATACCAAATGAGATTCTATAGAGTGCATGATATCACTTCGAAAAAATATAAATCGGAGCCGAATTCCACAAAATGGAAACGTACGCCCCGAAATTCACTCCACTTGGGTTGAGATTAGTCACTATTTGCACAATAAACCTGAAATCGGATTAATGATATGTATGGAAGCTACATCCAAATCTCAATAAAATTTTGGAAAAAGTATTTCCGAGCTCTATATACCATTCCGAGCTCTATAAGATGTCTGGATATCATTGTTGTCGAATGCATATTAAGAATGTGAGGGACTTAAACACCATATCGGATGAAACATATATATGGGAGCTATAGCTATATCTGAATTGATTTTACCAAGTTTGATGTACTTGCTTCTAGACTGAATTCGGTCGCATGTGCCAAAATTCAGGTCACTCGGACTGATATTGGCCATTTGGTGCACAATTAACCCGAAATCGGTTGAAGATATATATGGGAGCTATATCCAAATATGAACCGATTCTCACTAATTTTAATAGCGTTCATCCTTGGGCCATACAAATATTGTTTGGAAAATTTCATCTCAATCGGATAATAAATGCGACCCGCATTTTGTTCACAAGAATACAGAAATTATTACAAAAAGGCAAATGAGAGGCAAAGTGGAATCCAAACACGGTGGTTTACCAACGTCAAATGACAATGATCGATTGCTATCGATAAACTCAACAGAAAAAGCGATCAGCTGGAACACAATTGGGCATTCGGCGACATTATTACATAGACAAATAAAGGTATAGACTAAAAAGTTTTAAAATTTACCCCTTCCGGCAGATGTCACTATGGTTGATCTTGGGCCAGTAAAGTCACTCAGGGCTAGTGAAGTCACTCGACTTCGAAAACAATTTATTCATTTTTCTGCTATTTAAGTTCTATATTTTTATATTTTAGGACATAGTTGGGTAATGTAAATGTAAACAAAGTCACTGTTTCATTTTCAATTGATAAATAATAATAAATCATGAAAATATTCAATATTTTGTATTTTGAGAAAATTGAGTGAATATTTTAATGCTCTCACACAGCATGAACGACATCTATTGAAGCACTTTTTTCGAAGATAACAGATGAGACAACTTTTTAGTCTATGCCTTTATTTGTCTATGATTATTATCTCTAATATCATTTAGTTTCTCAGAGAGTTTCAATTCGTTTTCCGTAATTTTTTTTATTAAGATTTCTCTATTGATTAAATCATATTTTTCACAAATTTGTAATTTCCATTTAAGATTTGAAGTGGAAACACCCATATACCCTGTCCAATCTTTCAACTCAATCATTGTTATCACACACACTCACAATAACTTCTCAGGTATTAACGATCATGCTGGGCTGGCGGCATTCGATACGGTATCAAGTGACCAGTGGTGTGGCCAAGAATTATTACAACTGTCAAAAGATGAAAAAAAGGTCTTTGATGTTCACACACGCACACACATATAGCGATTATTTATTTGTTTACATTTTCGAAACAAAACCCAAAACGGGAAAAAGCCAAAATAGCTGTGTTGCTACCATTAAGTGGAAAAAAGGTTTTCCATTCTCTATTACCACGGATTGCGTACAACCAACCACTTAATACTGTAAAATGCCATGAAATTGATTTACTGGTTCCGCGGTGGGGGAAAACCACATAGAAGCCAATATAAGAAGCAACCAAAACAAATTCTTCCCAAAGAATTCTTTATAATTTTATTGGCCATATCGAATCTCACAGTTTTGGTAAAAAAATGACCACTTTGATAAAATTTCCAGAAGAAAAATGTGGGCGTGCATTTATACATGCGTTGGTTTTATTAGCATGCGATTAGATGGGGTGGGGTCGGGGGCTTAAATGAGTTGGGTTCATAACTTGTCTGTGATGTTGATTCCTGAGTTTTATTGACACAGGTTTATTAGGAGGGTTTCAAAGAATGTAACAAAGGCTCATTACATTGATGGCAGTTAAAGTTATCACTATTTAGTTAGAAGCAATATATTTTGTTTGTAGGTCCAATATTCTAACATCTACAAAGATATGGAGAAAAGCGAACGACATATGGATATTTTCAAGTATAAACTGTCTGAAAGTGCGGTGACGAAAATTTTATTAACTGCGTTTTTTGTACGTTAAGCCCTTATGTTTTGAAATAAAAGTAAACAATTGTGACTGTTTTTCGTCGCCTGAGAGAAATTGTAGGCGAAATCAGGAAACCACAGAAATCACTACGGCAAACAAAAAATGTAAAAATAAAATGATTACCGGTACCATATATTGAACTCCATATTTAATTAGATAATGTCTGCACGCATTTCAAACAAAAAGTTCTAAGTAGCACGCATATTGATAGACAGCTGCTAAGGACAATTCGAATAGAAGAAAAGCTTACCTGGACATAAGATGGGGAACAACAAGTATAAAATTCCGCAAACAATTACATTGTGCAACAAAATTCAAGTGGATGTTTGGTCCTTTTTGTATGATTTTGAAGTCCAAGTCCATCTGAGTCCAAGTCAAATTATTCTTCAAAAGTATTTGTCATAAAATTCTACTACACGCGAATACAACAAAACACATTTTAGGGTTTAACGGTACTTATCGTGAATTCATGCAATATTCTGCAAACCTGAGAGACGGAGAAAAAGACATTTTTAGAGTTGTATTGCTGAGGGTTTACTGGAGGAACAATGTACAGTAAAATCTTAACACCTTAAAGTTTTAGATTCGCTCCAATGACATTTTTTTAATCAAAACTTAATTCATCGTATTAAATTTTCCGACGTTCAAGGTTTTATTTATCATTCAAGATTTTTTTCGAAAAGAATTAGAGTAAGATTTTTACATTTTACACCAAAAAGTCATGAACATTTTTCACTTTGAAGATTACCGATGAGGATATTAGTAAAATCATTGAACAATGGACCCACATGCAATTTTTCTGTCCAAAACTATTTAAATTTCTACATATACAGACGCTAGAAATCAACAGTGACCTCAATGTCAAATTTCAGCTCTTATTAATCCCTTATAATATTAAATATTGTACTATTTAGTACTTTTCATCCAATTATAGTACACATTTCCAAAACCATCTAAATATCTGAGATCCAGATACCAACAATGACCTCAATATCAAATTTCGCGATTCTAGCTCCATCCCTTCAACCAATATCCAATTTGGTACCACAATTATAGTACGAATTTCCGAAACCACATCCAAATCTCAACCTTAGATACCCACAGTGAAATGTATATCAAATTTCATGATTTTAGCTCCATTCCTCCACCCAATTCCGAATGTAGTACTATTTAGAACTTTTCGTACAGTTTTAAAAGTAACCTCAATATCTCAATCCCAGTTACCAAGAATGACGTCAAATCAAATTTCGGGATTCCAGCTTTATATATTCACTCAATACAAAAATTAGTAACATTTTAGTACTTTTCGGACAATTATGGTACAAATTTACGAAAACACCTCCAAGTTTAAATTTCAGATACCCACAGTGAAATTTATATCAAATTTTAGGATTTTAGCCATATTCCTCCACCGAATTCCTTTCGTACCATTTAGTACTTTTTGTACAATTTTTAAAAGTCACCTCCATATCTCAATCCCAGATACCAAAAGAGACCTCAAGATCGAAGTTCTGCATTTCAGCTCTATCCTTTCACCCAATATCTTATTTAGTACCATTAAGTACTTCTCATACAAATATAGAACGTATTCCACACCAATGCCAAATCTCAAACACACATACCAATATCAAGTTTGAGGATTCCAGTCGTATCCCTTCATCCAATACCCAATATAGTACCATTTAGTACTTTCCAGCTCTATCCCTTCACCCAATACCTAATTTAGTACTTTTCGTACAAATATGAAACGCAATCCACACCAACGCCAACTCTCAACCACAGATACCAACAGAGACCTCACTATCAAATTTGAAGATTCCAGTCCTATCCTTTACCCAATACCAAAATTTGGTACTATTTTGTATTTTGCGTACAAAATTTAGGACACATTCCAAACCAATACCAACTCTCAAACACAGATACCATCAGTAATCTAAACATCAAATTTCAGATTTAAATCTTTATCTATTCAACCAATTCCAAAGATAGTACCTTTCAGTACTTTTAGTACAATTATACTATACATTTCGGAAACCACCTCCACATGTCCAGGCTACACATGAATAGCAAACCTAATATCAATTTTCAGATTTCAATACTATCTGTTCACCCAATACCAAATTGTACTAAATACGGTAATATTTAGTACTTTTCGTGAACTTGTAGTACACATTTCCAAAACCACCTCTTTATAACAAACCAACCATCAACTGGGAACACCAATACAAAATTTCAAAATTACAGCATCATCCGTTCACACGGTTCGCACTCTTAGCACGTATTTCCAAAACCATCTTCATATATCAAACTGGTTTTCATTCAACCAATACCAAATTTAGTACTTTTCGTACAGTTATAGAACATATTTCCGAAAGCACTATCTTTTCACCCAATGTAAGATTGTACTAAATACAGTACTATTTAGTACTTTTTGCGAACTTGTAGTATACATTTCCAAAAACACCTCTTTATAACAAACCAGCCACCAACAGGGGCCCCCAATATAACATTTCAAAACTTTAGTTTCATCCGTTCACCCTAAATCACACTGTTCCAAATTTCGTACCATTTAGTACAGTTCGCACTCTTAGTACACATTTCCAAAACCATATTCATATATCAACCTGATTTTTCAACCTAGATTCTCATACCAAATGTCAAGTTTTTAGCTCTATCCGTTCATATAATACCAAATGGTACCATTTCAGAAGTTTAGTACCATTTTAGAACTTTTCATAAAGTTCAAATTTCCAAAAACCCATTGGTACATCTATCCTGCACTCCATGAGTGACTTTCATTCCCAATTTCAGAAATCTAGCTCATTCCATTTGTCCAAAACAAATCATTTAATTTTTAGTACATTTTAGTATTTTTCGTACCTTCTAAGTACGAATTTGCAAAAACCCAATACTGACCCTTGTTCAAAATTTCAAGATTCTAACTTCAGCTATTTTATATGGGTGACGATTCTTAGTTAAACAGTTATTTTACTAGTCTTTTATGTATACAGATTGGAAGAATTGTGCTGCAAATTCTCTCTTCTCTCTCTCTCTCTCTTTTTTTGCATGAAAACAGTAAAAAGTAAACAGATATACTAAATATCTTGTCTAAAGTAACGAATTGTATTGTTTTTTTTTAATAAAAATACAAATAATTAAAACTAATCAGTACATTGGAGGTGTCGGACCCCCTCCATCTTACAGCTAACACGGTAGACCTAACAACAGTTCATTCAAACCACATTTCTGCACCCGATAATTGATTTCCTTCAAATTATTTGTTCCGCTAAAGAATTTCTGGGCACGATTTGACAACATCCAAACTTCAAGTTTACCCTCGGCATTGGGTGCAATTTTAAGACCGCCAATGAACTGCAGGGTTTTGTGATTTTCTGCCAGCGTTATGCGATTTTCCGCAGTGTACGGTTTCCTTATATCCCAACCAACAATTCCAATTGGATTTAGGAATCCACACAACAAATAGCCGTGCGGTGTCATTGCGGACACCGTGCACTGGACACCTCTTTGGCCGACTGCATGGAAATCTTTTAGGCGGGCCGATATATCTCCGATACGAAAATAACTGCCATTGTTAAGAACATCCAGTGGAACAGCAGCCAAAAGATCATTGCTCAACGAATGAAAATATAACATGCGTTGCATATTCAAGCCATGTGGAGTCACAGACATGCCGAATACCCCATCCAACAGTTCAAAACTTTCACCAGCCACCGTGTGTTTGCTGAAATGTGGATTTGGATAGGTAAAACGGTTTTCAATACGCCACGAATCTCGTTTCTGATGATCGTAGACGACGAGGGCAAAAGAGGTTGCATCCGCCAGATAGGCAAAGGTTTTCTCACAACGTCCATGGGGTGGGGGATCGGCCACATCCAGCACAATCGTGACCAGACGACTGTAATCTTTGACATATACCTTGCGTGGCAACTCATAACGATGGACCTCTCTGTGGCTGGGTATGTCGAAGACAACAATTTGGGGGCTACAGGTGTGATTTCGGCCAATTTCACCGCTATCCAATATCCACATGCGATTGCAGGGATCAATCTGGAAGAGAAAAAAAAAATTTGAAATTAGAAAGGAAAACAAAATCATAAATGGGATTTACAGCCTTTACTGACCATAACTCTGTAAACCGAGGCCAGACCCTTGCAGTTGGCTCCATATGAACTGTGCCAGGAATAATCAGGATAGGCTTCCAGTTTTATGCCAGACTGACCAGGTTCATTGCGAACCCTCGCCAAAGAGTATGGCGGACCTCTATCAAAACGTGGTATGGTCATAAATACCTGAGTGCGACTGCCATCACCTGGAATTGAAATATATTTTTATTTTCTTTATAACCTTGGAATTCTTGAAAAAATTGGGGTCTCACTTGGCGAATAGACATCCACATCTATGGGCAGTATATTATTCGGTTTATATCGTCCATCTTTAAGGGCTGCCTGCTTCTCCTCTTCCGAGGGAAAATCAAATTCCAATGCATTGCCTTCGAAGACTATTTCCATAGGTCGATTTTTACTTGTCGGTAGTTTAATCAAAGGCAAATCAAGATTATCAGAAAGTAAGGGTTTCAACAAAATATGGGCTGGGTTTTTCCTATGTCCTGCTGAGAAATCTAATTCATTTTCCGGATTATAATCGTATTTGTACACGGAAACCTTGGTCTGTACCAATTGTGGGCTAAGATGATATTCACTGGAATTGTGAAAATTTTCGGCTGGATCGAACGATACATGCGGTGGTAAATATTCATATCCTGAGGTGGGTGATAGTATCAGTGAAAAACATAGCCACATTTTGGCACTGAAATAAGAGAAGAAATATTAAAAAAAATATTAACATGAAAGCAGATTTGTTCACGTTTATTTTTGACCTGATTCGAAGTCAAATTCTCATTCCTTTAAAATTTATTTGCTTTAATATTTATTGTTAATGGGTTCTCTTTAACTGGTTTTTATGAAAGCAAATGAAAAAAAAAAAAACGATTTGATTTAACAATTAAACCAGATTACCAAACCATTTTTGACCGGAATTGCTTTGAGTTCAACGGTTTTATAAAAGATTACACGAAATTTTAAATTGGCTAAGGTGGATGAATTTCAAGAGGAGCATTTTCACTTTCACTTTGCTAGAAAAATAGACAAATTTTCGATATTAATTTTATGGGGTCTAAACTTGGCATTTCATTAAAAAAAAAACTTTTCTTGGTACACCTCAAACAAGTTTAGAATATAGTCGCCTGGTTAAAATCATTTTTGTAAAGATTACAGCGTGGATTTTAAAAAAGAGGTACATCAAAATCTTTACTGATTGACTTGATTGCGATATTCAGTATTTAGACACATTTCAAAGGAATTTTTATTTTCGGAATTCTTGGAATTTGTATGATTTTGGCCAAATATTTCAAGGAAAACCCGGGCCGACTATATGATACCCTTCACCTATGCATATTTAGTAGAGCCCTCGTAACAAAAGAAATTATTTGAAGTAGACCATACCATCTATCGATCTATAGCTGCTTTAGAGCAGCTATAATTTAGTTTCAGAGGGAACAAATATACAGGGTGAGATGAAAAACTGCAACCAACTTCAGACTGCTGTCATTTCTAAGCCACTCGCCCGACAGCTGTTAAAATTATTCCATTGACAGCTAATTATATTTTTTAGAAGCAAAGACCTTTATAAGTACAAAGGCATTTTGGTAAGAATTTTCCAGAAAAAAATATTCGTGATGGAATTCAACCGTGATAGTGTGATTTCTTTACATTCGACTGGAAAACCACAAGTGGCTATCGTTAGAGCACTCCAGCATTTAAATGTTAATAAATCTTTTGTGTCTCCTACCATCGCTCATTACCGTGATACTGGTAGCGTAGCCCGACGTCAAGGAAGGGGACATCAGCAGAAATGGTTCGAAAAGTAAAGAAGCGACTTGATCGAAACCCGCGTCGCAGTGGCCGAAAAATGACTCGTGAGCTGAACATATCGCAATATTCCATTCGGCAAATATTGAAAAATGAGCTCGGTGTAAAACCATTGAAATTCCAAAAAGTGCAAGAACTTACACCGCAACAGAAAGAAAATAGACTCAAAAGAGGTAAAGACTTGCTTCGCTTGGCCGAAAGTGGTGAACTGCCGAATTTGGTTTTCTCCGATGAGATAACATTCGTTGTCCAGCAGTTTGTAAACAAACAAAATGATAGTGTTAACCTGCCGAAGAGGTCAGCTGAAAATGTGCACCTTCGCTTCAAGCAAGCGCTTCGCAACATTCGGACAGCGTGTGACGATTTCATTGGCCGTTTAAAGCCTATAATTCATACCAAAGTTGACCAATTCAAACAAATGTAAACTTATTCTAAAATTTGATGCTATTTCCGACATTTTTTGCTTTCATTCAATAAAATTTAAAAAAAATGTCAAAATTATGACGTTTGACTTTGTTGCAGTTTTTTTTATCTCACCCTGTATATGGGAGCTATATCTAAATTTGAGCCGAATATTGTCTGGACTGCACTTTTTTCACAAGAATATATGGACGGACGGACTGACAGATAGACAGACTGACTGACATGCATAAACCGACTGAGAAAGTGATTCTATGAAGACCCTCAAAAGTAACTATGGATCTATCTCGTTTGCTTCTCCATATTACAAACAAATGCACAAATACATAATACCCTATACCACTATTTGGTGTGGGATATAATTATATAAAGGTCCCGGATTTTCATATATCCCTTAGATAACATTGCCTCCTTGAAAGTTTTATCATTTTACGGCTAGAGAGGGTTATGGAGTCAAAACGTGTCTTGTCGTTTTTTGCTCTCTTTGGAGTAAATCCGTTTCAGGACATTTCAATCGATCCATCTGTCTGGCTGATGCGCACGATAACTCTCGAAGGGAGTATCCGATTTGGTCCAAACTTGGTATATCGTAATATTATTATTCAGCTTAGATTGAGTTCGGAGATGGGCGATATGGGTCAATTCTTTCTGGTACTTTCCCCACAAAATTTCGAATTTTTCAAAAATTTTTCCTGCACAGAAAGATAATTGATAATCCGATTTTGGTCCTACAAACATATTTTAAAAAGTGTAACTTTACCAATGCCGGAGGGTATTAACAATTCGATCTTACTGTATTAAACAGCTTTTTTACTTGTTCATTATAAGTGCATTCCTTTGTGTTTTTTCTTCGAATATCCAAATAACACCTCTTGTTACAAAATCTTTTAACAAACTTAACGAAGATTCTAATTTTACTATCCAGTGAGAACTTTGTTTTCATTTTTAATGCAGAAAAGGAAATCATAAGTCTTTTAATCGGGGTAGATTCCTCAAATCTCCTACTTTTACATAGTCCAGAAGTAAAAATGTAATCTTCTAAAAACCGATTCTTTAAAATTATTTTCCGTTTAAATGTTCACATTCGTTGTCCAATTATATATCACATTCTTTTGTTATATTTTTCGTAATTTCCATAAAAACATCTTTATTTCTAGCTTCGCTCAGTAATATTAAAGAATTTCCGATGTTAATTCATTTAAGAATCTTGTAAATAAAAATTCATCCATCTAAATTCATCACACCGTCGAACTTTTTAAATATTTTTTACTGTGTTTTAATTTTTCTTTGCTGCATTCCCAAATTTCGATTTAATTTCTTTTTAGTAATTGATCCAGTTTTTTTTATTTTTTTATTCGTTTAACTCACATTTCACATTTTAAACGATTCTTCTTATACATTGTGGGAGGAATTTGATTTTTTGGAGTGAGATAAGCGTTTACCAACCGACTACTTTTTATGGCACATCAAAACCGACTAAAGATGGTAAAGTGGTAATGCATCGTTTTGCGGCCATCCAAAAACAAATCCTGCCACGGTTTATTTATTGAAATGAAATGCCAGTGCAAAACATGTACTAAAAGTCCGGTTTTATTTTAGTTAATTGAATTTTAATTTGACAAATGCATGATTATGCATTGAGAGAATTTGTAAATACAAAAAATGTTTCATTGCTCCCTTCATTTTATATTGCGGAGACAATAGAGCAGAGAATTTAGGTCATTCACGACAACTTAAGGATTTAAGTTTATTTTATGAACATTTATTAATATTTTTTCACGCACTTAAATTAATAATTGGTGTGTTCGTTTCCAATCATTTGTACAAATGGCAAGATAACGCATGTTGTACTCTTTAAACTCTTTACACCTTAGTACTGGAGGTCGTTTATAAGCTTTCTACATTTTTTAATACTATCTTAATAAGTGACTAAGTCATGAAAGTAGAAAGGACGCTGTGTTTGATCGGTCCGAATTGTTTATACCCTTCACTATGAATGAAGCTTAAACCCGGCTAATAATTTAATTTGATTGTTGTGGAGAAGACCTTTTATACAATTTCAAGACATAAATTGATACTTGTGCCCTGTGAAATGCGGCGAATAAAAAATAATTTGCCATCTTGAAAAGGAGGGTATATTCATTTTGTCGTTCCGTTTGTAACATGTTTAAATATTCGTCGTAGACCCCATAATGTATATACATTCATAATCAGCATAAAATTCGAAGTCGATTTAACGATGTCCGTCTGTCTGTCTGTCTGCTTTGGTATAGCCCCCATACAACGGTATCTCCCGATATTCGGTATTTTGATGACTTTTGCCACATTTTCCCACGAATATGTCTAAAAATTGGTATTTGTGGGTCATAATTGGTTCTAATGTTTCCATTACCCTAAGGTGGAGGATATTAAAAGTTCGGCCCGGTCGAACTTAATGTTGTTTTACTTGTTTTTTAATCAATATCTCCTCTTTTTGCGTCCACTGCAGCTTTTGAACTTACAACTTTATAATAAAAGACACTACCCATTTTATCATCTGCTTCAATAACTTATCGTTTTTTTCTCCGTTTGCCGACAACGAAACTTGGACTCGATAACTACGGGTTTTAAGCGTATACGCTCAGTTTAGTTATTTGAATATTATTCAAATACATATGTAATTTTTTGTTAAAATCGATTCAAATTCAAATATGTTGCCCAAATTTTCAAATTTGAATCAAATTATTTTTTTTCCTTCAACATCCCATAGCTTTTGCGGATTTAAAATACTACCTACACATAACAAATTTAGTTTAATTGCTCGATCCCGACTATTATTATTAAATGCACCTAGAATTTAAGGCTGCTCAAGAATATTTATTGTTTATGTGGCTTCAACAAATATACCGGTGTCCACACCGGTATAATCAAAATCGTATACCCTATCTATGATGGTGCACTTCGAACAAAGAAAAAGGTTTATTTGACACATTTTTTGAAAAGAAAATGGTTCAACATTTATTAGGACCTAGTCAAAGCATGAAGGTAAAACAAAGACCAATTACAATTACAGAAAGTAGAACAAAGCTACTCCCTAAATACAATTTTTTTTCTTCTGGTGCCCCCCTATTCTGTCAAAACATACACACAGTTTGTATATGTGTGTGTATTCTTATGAATATAAAATAAAATAATTTGAAATTATTTCCAATTCAGTTACAGAAGAAATGCATATTTTCGGTGTTGATAGACAATAAATTCTAAAATTTTTAGACAAAACAGTATTGTCTTACTACCTCAGATTTAATTTTGCGGAATAACCCCAACATTCCATTCATGTTTTGTAGTTTTCCCCCAATATAAAATTTAATATTGATCTATTATCAATCTATTTATTATTACAATTTTCTTTATTAAATAACATGCTATATTGTGCTCCTAAAGATATGCTACACAATATGATAATTATAAAGTATGTGAAAATTATGCCAAGTTTTACAATGTTGATATGTAGCCCATGTTGAAGTGATCCGTTAAAGTGAAATACGTAACACAAAAAAAGTAATATTAAGCAATTCATATTTAATTTGTTTGTAATTTCAAGGATTAAATTTGTTATAATAACTAGAATGATATTAAAAAATCGATTTGTATTTAAATATTTTAACTAAAAATTAAATTAAATTTATAAATCGAATTTTATAATTTTTAATTCAAATAAACACATTCGCAATTCAATTTTGAAAAATAACTCATTGGCCACCAGAACACAAGTGCCGGCCATGGTGATGGTGTGGGCCGCCATAACAGCCAATGGTCGCTCTCCGCTCGTATTAATTGACCGTGGCATCAGAATAAATGCCGAATATTATCACGAAAATATTCTGGAGGGTTTATTAAAGCTTTGGACATGTAAACATTTTGGCCGCAGACCTTGGACATTCCAACAGGTGCCAGCCAAGAATTGTTAGAAAATCAGGTTACTCGCTTCATTTCCAGCGCATAATGGCCACCAAACTCTCCGAATACCAATCCGTTGGACTATTGTGTCTGGAGTATTTTGGAAAGCAAGGTTGGCACTAAAAAATACCAAAGTGTCGATCACCTCAAGCAAGCGCTTCGCCGAGAATTGACCGAGCAATATTCGGGCAGCGTGTTACGGTTTGATTGGCAGTTTGAAGGCCATAATTCGTGTCAAAAGGTGACCAATTCGAACAAATCTAACTTATTCTAAAATTTGATGCTATTTCCGACATTTGCTTTTGCTTTCATTCAATAAAATTAAAAAAAATGTAATTTTTTGTTTTAAATTTTAAATTTGACTTTGTTGCAGTTTTTTTATCTCACCCTGTATATTTACAAAAGAGAACAAAATCGCCTTACTCTCCGAGATAGAAATAGCTTTTCATTATTTAAACCGACATAGACACCGGAGAGAAGGTGATATGCTTAAATTGGCCATTATTTTGGTTCCTTACAAACTTTTGGAACCAAACCAAAAAAATTCTCCAAATAAAATTTTTTTTATAAATTCGCCAATATCCACGTATAAAGATAATTTTTTTCCAAGTCTTATCAAAAATAAATTATTTCGATTGGTTTCAATATTGACAACAAATTTTCTGTTTCGTTGATTATGAATATTTGAAAACCGCGATGTGATGAAGGGGAAGTTACATTATCCCCTTCATCAGATCATTCCCACTGTCTTAATATAAATTAAATTTTAATTATCCAGTCATGTGAACAGGCGGCTTATTTCGAGATTACATCAAAATTCATTGGTAATTTGAAATAGAATCAATCAATGCAATCGTGGTATGTGTGATGATGATTATGTGTTTCAAATAATTACATATTTTTATTTAATTATTGTTGTTTGGAGAACAAATCTGTTACGGATGCAGTAATTACAAATGGTTTTGGAGATGTGATAGGCATGTCAGTGTTATTTTTGGAAATACCCAAATATCTCTGATTCAACAAAGAAAGTCAAAAGGAAAAGGGAAAAGAAATGCTTCCGTTCTCAATACAAAATAATTATTTTCTTTATGAAAATATTGATTTTATTCGAATAAATGAATAATTTAGTAGAACTAAAAATAATGCAGTAATTTGTACAATTTTGTTTGGGGTTCCATTGTTTAATTGCTAAAAACTAGTCTAGTGTGCAAGTCATTGGGATTCGAATTGGGATTCATGCGCGCCGTGCCCAAGGTATAAACTAATATCCGGAAGTTCACTTCGTTGGTTTTCTGAGTTTCCGCTGCCACTTTCTGTTAAAGGGAAAGATCGAGAAAAGTGATTAATTTCTCTTAAAAAATAAAGAAAATTATTATTGCCTACCTGGAATCGATTGGATATCATCCAAAGTTCCTCCTTGCCCTCATTGTTGGTCACCACTTTCATGCCACTGACAAATTCCAGAATATCCTGATCGATGGGGAATTTCTTGAAGTTCTTATTGTGATAGCGTGTGCTGACATTCCATGAGATCAGCTCAATGGGATTCATGGTTACACAGTAGACGTTGTCCCAACTGTCGGTGGCTGTGGCCACACATTCACTGGCACGCTTACCCAATGGCATAAAAGATTCTAGCGCACCCGTGCCATGCAGGAAATGTGATGAATTGTCCAGAACATGTAAGGGCACCGAAAATTCCGTAATACTGGCCATCGGGTGGAAGAAAAGATTTCTTCTGTCCGTTGTCATGCCAATGATGCCATCCATGAGGGTAAACGATTCACCGGCCACTGTGTGGGTACCATAATCCGGATCGGGATACATATATTTATGTTCAGAACGCCAAGAGCTATTCGCCATGTGATCGTAAATAATTAAACCGTGATAGTTGACATCGGCTACATAGACCATGGCCCGTCGACAATTACCCCTGGGTGGTGGATCTTTAACCACAACAATGGGTGTGACGAGCAGCGAAGCGGATGGCGTATAAACTGTTGTATTGAAACGGTAGCGATGTATCAGCTGATCGGTATTCAAATCGAAAAGTAACAGTTGGGGTGCACAACGTGTTTCCAAACCCACCGATCCCGAGTCCATGACCCACATTTGATTGCATTCGGTTATCTGAAAATAAGATAATTTGAGAATATTATCGGCTATTGGAAGGGATATCAAAAAAAAAGAAAAGGTCGATGTAGTCTTCCTGGAAAAATAACAACCAACTAAGTTTGGATCACACCGAGAAATTTTGACCCTTTGGTTTACTATTTGGCTACTATTTTTTTGTTAACTTATAAAAATAGAATTTTGAACTTACCGCCACTCTGAAAGCCGATGTTATTTGATCGCAATCATCACCATTGACATTGTGGGCCCTGTACGAAGGATATGGATTTATTATGGGGCCATTGGGACCCATTTTATCCGATATGGTTGCCAAGGTATAGGGGATGCCCGTTTGGAATCTGGGTATGGTCACAAATGTTCTTACGGGTTTATTTTCTAAAAATAAAAATAAAATCATTTTAAAGTCAAAATATTCAAATACATTTTCAATATTTCAAAATACCCACTCAAATAATGCGGCTGGACATCGATGGGAAGACCATTATTCTGGACATAGTTATCATTTGCAATGGCCGCCCTTCGATCCGAATCGCTGGGGAAACTGTATTCCAATATGTTCCAAACATAGGGAACCTGTAGATTTTTATCCTGCCGCGACGGCCTCGGTTTGCGGCCATAGCCCTGGGAAAAGCCGCTGTCGATGTTGTTGAACAACAACAACAACGCTAATATCAATGGCACCAATATCGTCATCTCTAACTGAAACGATGAAGTAGAAATTATTCATTAGTGTCAATATTATTATTATTATTACATTGATATTTGTTTGCAATAAATAAGCGTAAGCAATGACAAATACAAATACATATGTGTAAACAGTGTATTTGTTATATTGTGTGATAACAGATTAATTAAAAAAGTAGAAAAAAAATATTTCTTCCCGAAAATGAAAAACACTTCCCGGGTATTCCAAAAAGCTGGGATTTTTAATTAAGTTATTCATTGGGGCAATGGACTTCCCCAAAAAATTTCTGATAATTGAAGCAATATTTTTAATTGTGTTGAAAGAGCATCTCGGGACCACGTATTGACTTAGAAAAAAAATATTTCCAAAGAGCTGGGATTTTTTTTTTAAAAAAGTCATTCATTGGGGCAAAGGAGTTCCCCAAACTTTGAGCATTTCGCTCATAACGTTAATCTCTATAAATAAGAGAGTAGTGAAATAACTGACCAGAAATCAACGCTCGTACGAAACAGCGGCTAGAATCTTGAAAATTTGCACGAGGCCAGTCTTGGTGCGTAGGTGTGTGATAGGGCTGGGTTTTCGATTTCGAATTCGAAAAAATATTGAATACTCTGTACTAGACAAACGGAATAAGCTAGATTTCTGAAATTTGGAATGAGAATAACCGGTGGAGTGTAGGACAGAAGGCTTTTTGGAAATTCGAACCAAATGCTTTTTCGATATGCAAACTATAAGGATACGAAAAGTTCTAAAATGGTACTAAATTTTTAAAATGGTACCATTTGGTTGGAACGGATAAAGCTAAACACTTGAAATTTGGTATGAGAATCAAGGTTGAAAAGTAAGATTGACATATGAGGGTGATTTTGGGAATTGTATTAAATGAGCGAACTATACTAAATGGTAAATGGTTTGGAACTGTTTGGTTTCGGCTGAACAAATGAAGCTGGAATTTTAAATTTTTTTATTACGGTCCCTGTTGGAAGTACGTTTTGATAAAAAGGTGGTTTTGGGAATGTGTACTAAAGCTGCACGAAAAGTACTAAATTTGGTACTATTAGTAGTAGTAGTACTATATTTGGTACATTTGTTGAACGGATAGTGTTTAAAATCTTAAGTTTGGCAGAAGGGTTGCTGTTAATGTGTAGTCTGTAAATATGGAGGTGGTTTCGGAAATATGCACTATAATTGTACGAAAAGTACCAAATTGAACTAAATTTGGTATTGGGTGAAGGGATACAGCTGTAACCATGAAAACTTTATATTGCGATAAATTTTGATGTCTAGGCTTGAGATATGGAATGGTTTTGTAAATGACTACTAAAAAGTATACGAAAAGTACCAAATGTTACTAAATTTGGTATGGAGCGAATTTATAAAGCTCAAATCCCGAAATTTTATATAAAGGTCTATGTTGGTATCTCGGCTTGAGATATGGAGATGGTTTTGGAAATGTATACTATAATTGTACGAAAAGTACTGAATGGTACTGAATTTGGTATTGGGTAAATGAATAGAGCTTAAGTACTGAAATTTGACACGGATGTCACTTTAGGTATATGAGGTTGAAGATTCAAGAGATTGTTTTGAAAATACGTACTTTAAATGTACGTAAAGATCTTGATCAGACAATCAGAAAATGACAATCACCAACATTAGTAGTTATATGGTGCTCAAGTTAAAAATGTATGTACATAACTACTATAATATAGTACTTCGAATTCAAGAACCCATCTTATTCCTTAAATTTACCCAAGAGTTGAATTAGTTCTTTTTTTGGGTACAGAAACGGGTTTCTAATAAAAAGTTGCAAAAATTGTGAAAGTGGAGTAGATTCATTCATATACTTTCTGGAACGGGGATCTAGTCTTAATTTTGCCGCGGTGATTTTTTTCAAATAGCAACATTTGCTGACTTTTTTATAATCTTTTGTTACCATGTATTGCCGTTGTTAACGAACGAAGCTACTTGCTATGCGTTAATTAAAATAAAAATTGATACAAAAAATCATGTTGTTAATCGAAAACTGGTTGTAATTCGTTATTGTTGCTGTTGTTGTTACTTATATTTTTCTTTTTATAAATCATTATCATAATGTCTTCATTAATCGGATAGAATAGAATAATTGGCGTTGATAAGGCTTCAAGTGTCAATTCAAAATATGCAACTTGTTCGGATTTTATTTCTGTGCTAAATTATTAATGATGATGATGAGTAGATATAGAAATTTAATAAAAATTATTAAACAAAACAAACAAACGTAGAAAGAGATAGCATTCAAACAAATACAGGGTGAGATGAAAAAAACTGCAACCAACTTCAGACTGCTGTCATTTCTAAGCCACTCGTCCGATAGCTGTTAAAATTATTCCAGTGACAGCTCATTATATTGTTTACAAGCGTAGAGAACAGGAAAAAAGTTGTGATGGAATTCAAGCGTGATAGTGTGATTTATTTATATTTGGCTGGAAACCACAAGTGGCTATCGTTAGAGCACTCCAGCATTTAAATGTAAATAAATCGTTTGTGCCACGTACCATCGCTCTTTACCGATACTGGTAGCGTAGCCTGACGTCAAGAAAGTGAACGGAAGAAAACAGCAACATAAGCAGAAAACATGATCGAAACCCGCGTCGCAGTAGCCGAAAAATGGTTCGTGAGCTGAACATATCGCAATATTCCATTCGGCAAATATTGAAAAATGAGCTATTGAAATTCCAAAAAGTGCAAGAACTTACACCGCAACAGAAAGAAAATAGACTCAAAGAGAGAGAGAGAGAGAGAGAGAGAGAGAGAGAAATAGACTTAAAACTAATAAGTTGCTTCGCTTGGCCAAAAATGGTGAACTGCCGAATTTGTTTTTCTATTTGTAAACAAACAAAATGATCGTGTTTACTTGTCAAAGAGGTCAGCTGAAAATGTGCACCTTCGGTTGGCCACCAGAACTCAAGCGCCGGCCAGGGTGATGGTGTGGGCCGCCACAACTGCCGATGGTTGCTCTCCGCTCCTATTAATCGACCGTGTCATCAGAATAAATGCCGAATATTAGCGCGAAAATATTCTGGGGTGTGTATTAAAGTCTTGGGCACCCAAACATTTTGGCCGCAGACCTTGGACATTCCAAGAGAACTCAGCACGCAAAATCTCCGGACACCAATCCGTTGGACTCTTGTGTCTGGAGTATTTTGGAAAGCAATACCAAAGTGTCGATCAACTCAAGCAAGCGCTTCGCCTGGAATGGGCCAAAATACCGCAGAGCAACATTCGGGCAGCGTGTGACGGTTTCATTGGCTGTTTGAAGGCCATAATTCGTGCCGAAGGTGACCAACTCGAACAAATCTGAACTTTTTCTAATTTGATGCTATTTCCGATTTTTTTTAGCTTTCATTCAATAAAATTTAAAAAAAAATGTAAAAAGTATAGCGTTTGCCTTTGTTGCAGTTTTTTTATCTCACCCTTTATGATTTTGAAATTTAATGCCGGCAAGAAATACCATTCCAATGTGATTTTTAATTATACCCTACAACACTATGTGTTGGGGGTATTATAAGTTTGATTGGGCCAAAAATTATGTAACACCACGAAATATTGGTTTCCCATATAGGAAAGTATATATGGATCATCCTAGCTCGCCGAGCTGAGTCGATCTAGCTATGTATGTCCGTCCGTCCGTCTGTCCGTCTGTCCATGTTAATTTGTAATCACTCTACAGGTCGCAATTATGGCCCGATCTTCACGAAATTTGGAATGGAGGTCGGGGTTGGGCCAGAATAGAACCCTATTTCTTTTTGAGATGATCGACAAATGTTTAGGGGTTGAAATGGACCAAATACTGAAAAAATGTCGGATTTTGCAGTAGCTATACAGGTCGCAATTATAGACCAATCGACGCCGAATTTCGCATGTAGCTAGAGTTTAGGACGGGGAAGAAGCCTACCAATTCGGGTGGTCATCGGATAATATTTAGCGGGTAAAATAGACCATATATTTTGTGTTGAAAAAATTCAAAATTTTTCATTAAACCGCGAATATTTTAAATCCCGGCGAAATCCCAAAGCCATGACAAGGTTACTTCTGACCTTTACATTGATGTTAACATCCAACAAATCGGATATATAGCAAAATATGTGCGATATTTATGTCTATCAAAGAAGATATGCTTGAAAGATCTCTTATATGTCGAGAACGGCTGAACTGATTTCGACAGTTCTCATTAATTCAGAATGGCCTCTTGGCAGGAAAGAAAAAACGTCTAAAAAAATCTCATAAAATATCTCTCTAAAGATGAAAATATTGATTTTGTAAAATATTCTCATATTTTTTCAATTTTGTCATATTTTTGGCATATTTTCATTTTGAATTAAACATTTGGTAATATTTCTACAGCTAACAAAACTAAGTAGTTATGACATCAGAATATCATATACAGATCGCATTTATGGCCCGATCCTTACGAAATTTTGCATGGGGATAAGATGAGGGTCAGAATAGAAGCCTACTCTTTTTGGAGATGATCGCCATATATTTAGGGGTTGAAATGGACCAAAAAACTGCAAAATTGTCGGCAGGTCGTAATTATCGCCCGATCATCACGCACATTTGAAAGGGGGTTACCGGACATTGCAAAAGCCAAGCAGTTTTGGATGGCCATCCAAAAATATTTAATGTGTGAAATAGTTTGCCAACTTTTGTAGACGAAATACGAAAATGTCGATTCCAGTGACTTTTTGGAGAATTCACAAATACAGGAAAGACGCACTTCTGACTATTTCGTTAACGAATATAGTCAAATGTCTGTATCTCATATATATGCGTTTCAGTCAAAAACCAATAATAAATGTTAATCTTTTGCCACTTCTAAGAAATTATAGGTCTTTGGGAAATATTGGTTCCAGATCTAGGAAGACCATTTAAGTGCAACATCTACCAATAAATTGGAAATGAGCAAATTAGTTTAAGTTGCTATTATTCGAAAATTAGAGAACGGAACCTATATAAACTGTATCGTTTATTATAGTGTTGTAGGGTATTCAACGGTCGGCCCCGCTCGACTGTAGCCTTTGCTTACTTGTTTTTTTATGTATTTTATTTAATTAAAAAAAAAAAAATAAAAATAAATTTGAAAAATTAACTATTATTGATTTTCTCCTTTCGCATTCACTTTCGTATCGTCATAGAGAAACATGCAGATTTGATTATATTTTTACTGATGACCGTTGGAAACTCTCTCCCTCTCTCTCTCTCTCACTCTCACTCTTGTTGTTTTTGCATTGTCATTATTAAAACGTCTGATAACTGGACTTGAAACAATGTCTCGCATTTTAAGGAAACATAAAATGAAAAATAAAAAATCCAGTTAACAAATAATTTACAAACATTGTATACTAACAAAAATGCAAATGGAATGTAAACAATACTACGTTATAATTTAACCGAAATATTTATTGTTTATAACTTTTATGCTGACTCCTGAAATAATAAATTTCATTGTTTACGATATTTTTCGTTTCGTTTTGTTTTAGAATTGGACATTTTTATATCGCGGTTTAATTGCATAATGAAATCTTGGTGGATGGAGTGGGCGAAAACGTTTAGTGACCTTTAAATCATGCATATTAATGGAATGAGCGTCAAACTGCCTGTCTGCCTGATTGACAAAATTGAGTGGCGAGCACAGTGGAGGGCCAGAGAATGAATGGATTTTTTAACATGTAAGTAAATTTACTCATTATATATTAAAATACTTTGTTATAGTAGATGATTTTTTAAATAATACACTTCAACAATTAATAATTCACCTTTCAGTTCTATTGACAAATGTATACACCAAGACCCACACACTAATTACACCCTCGGCCATATGGCTGGAGAGGGTTTATATCATTTTAATACGGCCAAAACGTGCCCCATCGAAATAATGATTTTAAACCCTAGGTCTCTGGTTCCTCCTCCAAAAAGGTCAACATTTTAAATAACCAAAATGATTATAAAATCCGATATAAGCACCAGGTCATTTTCAAATTTCACACATCCCAATTTTTCTACAAACAGAAGATCTGCTGTGAAGATGGGATATATTGGTCTACTCGTTCTGGTATCTGTTATATATCCATGAAGCTCATAAAACGCTTGAATTAACATCCGATTCAATTTATACTTTGCATATCACAATAATTCCATCAACACAAGATCTGTTATAAAGATGGTAGAGATCGACCCATTTCTTCTGGTACCTCCCCCCAAAAACAAAACGCTCAAAGAAAGCGAAATAAACATCCAACTCTCTTCAAATTTCACACATATAAACATTTTTGCTAATACAAGATCTGTGGCGAAGATGATACACATGATGAGATAAAAAAAAAAACTGGAACAAAGTCAACGCCATAATTTTTAATATTTTTTTTAATTTTGTTATAAGAAAGCAAAAAATGTTGGAAATAGCATCAAATTTTAGAATAAGTTTAGATTTGTTCGAATTGGTCTTCAAACGGCCAATGAAACCGCTCTTGAGTTCTGGTGGCCAACCGCAAGTGCACATTTTCAGCTGACCTCTTTGGCAAGTAAACACGATCATTTTGTTTGTTTACAAACTGCTGGACAACTAATGTTTTCCCATCGGAGAGAGAGAAAACCAAATTCGGCAGTTCATCACTTTCGGCCAAGGAAGCAACTCTTTAGTTCTTCTGAGTCTATTTTGTTTCTATTGCGGTGTAAGTTCTTGCACTTTTTGGAATTTCAATGGCTTTACCCCGAGCTTATTTTTCAATATGGAATGGAATATTGTGATATGTTCAGCTCACGACCCATTTTTCGGCCACTGCGACGCGGGTTTCGATCAAGTCGCTTCTTTACTTTTCGAACCATTTCTGCTGATGTTGCTGTTTTCTTCCTTCCATTTCGTTGACGTCTGGCTACGTTACCAGTATCACAGTAACGAGCGATGGCACGATACACAAAAGATTTATCCACATTTAAATGCTGGAGTACTCTGACCATAGCCACTTGTGGTTTTCCAGCCAAATATAAAGAAATCACACTATCACGGTTGAATTCCATCACGAATAACTTTTTTTCTGGAAAATTCTCAACAAAATGCTTTTGTACACTTGTAAATAATATAATGAGCTGTCACTGGAATAATTTTAACAGCTGTCGTACGAGAGGCGTAGAAATGACAGCAGTCTCAAATTGGTTGCAGTTTTTCATCTCACCCTGTATATCTGCGAACTCCTTCTGGTACCTCACCCACAAAGGGTTTTCAATTTTTATATCTGTCATAATTGGCGAAACAAGTCGGCGATTCTTTATAACTTACTATAACTAAATATTTCTCCTAACCAGAAATCTGATATAAATATGTAATTTATCGGAATTTATGATTTCTCATAAAATTGGATATAAATGTTCGATTTTTATCTTTATTAGTTCAAGTATACTTCGGTCCGCTATATTTGTTACCTAACGCATATTTCCACATTTTCGAAATTTTGTACATATTTCATATAAAGTATATGAAGTAGTCGATAACCAAAACTGGCACGTTGTAATATTTATATCAGTCTTAGGTCAGGAATGAATTGGTCAATATTGGCCAACTGCTTCGGAAACTCCCACATAAAAAGTTAGAATAATCATAACTGAAGGCTGGGGGTATACGTCGGTTGGCAAAATCGACTGGTACTATTTTACTTGTTTTCTTCGAGTTGAGTAATGCCCTAAGAAGATGGCATTGAAAATTGGAATCTAGCGAAGTTCCACTCTTCAACCAATATGTGACAATTTCGTTGCATATTTTTTCGTTCCAAAAAAATTACAAAAACTCTAAAAAAATTCGCAAAGAAAACTTGAGGTTTTTCTATTTACTTTTTTCCCTATCGCGATTATACACTTGTCATATCACTGCACTGTAATTGGTATATTGTATACAAAAACGGAAACCTTCGTATCAAAATAAATTCAAATAGGACTAAAAATAGTAATAGCACTATCGAACGAAATGAAAATATTATTTTTTTTATTTATTTTTATAAAATATTTTTAAATTCACCTTCTGTTTGAAAATTCTGAGGAGATACTTCCGTGAGGGATTACGCATAATGTTTTTTTTATTTTTTATACCACAACTTAACATCTATGCTCTTCTAATCAATTCAAAAAATGAGTGACTATCTCATTTTGTTTTTTTTTTTTTAATTTCGATTTTGACATTAATGACGCAGCGATTATACGAGGGGTATTCCAGCTCTATTGGTATAGTCCCATTTCTAAGTTCAACTAGGTCACAAAGAGTTGGGTAATTTTCACAGATAATAAAATGGAAAAATAAATATTAAGCTATGATTAGCGTTTATGTTTGTACATAATCCGCAGTGTTTATTTAATCTATTTTCAACAAGTGTTTTTAAAAATTGTTTTTCAGTCATGAATATTCATAACGTCATCTTGGAATAAGATTTTTTTTTTGGAATTTCAATTTTTGTTATTCTCTGTTTGGTGGGTTTTGGTATTTCTAACAATTCAAATACATCCAATAATTCTGCAGTCGCATAAAATTAAAAATGCTTCCAATGAAATTAATATTGACGTTTTTTTCTTTTTTGACTACCATAGTCCGATAACCCGTTTAGGTTCAATGTTATTTAAATGAGAAATTAAAAAAAAATTGTACAGTTATTTGGAATATGTCGAAAAAAATAAATATTTAGCAACAATTGTATTGTTAATAAACAATATGGCAAACACATGTAGGCAAATACGGGGAAGTACTGTTATTGTTTACAAGAACAAACAATAAGACGCCAAATTTAACCTTAAGTCAAAGTGGTTGGGTTATAGGTGGTAATTAAATAAAAATACAAAAAATGTAGTCTTTCAACAAACCTATAAATGAGAAGTTTAGAGACTCTTTCTTGCTTTCAGGAAGTATACAAGGAAAAGCCCAACATTCAGGATGGGTTTTTATCCAATGAAACTTAAATAAATTGACTTCTACAATATCAATTTTTTATTGAAAAAAAAAATGACTTATGAAAAGTTATAAAAAAATTGGAGTGAGATAAAAAAAACGTCAACAAAATCAAACTCCAGAATTTTTACATTTTCTTTAAATTTTATTGACTGAAAGCAAAAAATGTTGGAAATAGCATCAAATTTTAGAATAAGTTTAGATTTCTTCGAATTGGTCACCTTAGGCACGAATTATCTCCACAAACGGGCAATGAAACCGTCACACGCTGCCCGAATGTTGCTCTGCGGTACTTTGGGCCATTCCCGGCGAAGTGATTGCTTGAGGTGATCAACACTTTGGTATTTCTTTCAGACACAATAGTCCAACGGATTGGTATCCGGAGATTTTGGTGGCCATTGTGCGCTGGAAATGAAGTGAGGAACCTCATTTTGTAATCATTCTTGGGTGGCGCGTGCTGAGTGCGATGGTGTTGAGTCCTGTTGGAATGTGCAAGCTCTGCGGCCGAAATGTTTGCTTGCCCAAGGCTTTAATACACCCTCCAGAATATTTTCGCGATAATATTCGGCATTAATTCTGATGCCACGGTCGATTAATACGAGTGCAGAGCGACCATCGGCTGTTATGGCGGCCCACACCATCGCCATGGCCGGTGCTTGAGTTCTGGTGGCCAACCGAAGGTGCACATTTTCAGCAGACCTCTTTGAAAGTAAACATGATCATTTTGTTTATTTACAAACTGCTGGACAACGTTTTTTCATCGTATAAAACCAAATTCGGCAGTTCACCACTTTCGGGCAAGCGAAGCAACTCTTTAGCACTTTTTGGAATTTCAATGACTTCACCTCCATAATGGCTCAACATTTTGAATAACCATTAAGCTCCTAAAACGCGAAATGAGGATCCAATTCTTTTCAAATTCGGCACAGGTATGAAGATGTAATTTAACTGACCACTCCTACTGGTAACTCCCCCGTAACGGGTCAAATTTTCAACTAATTAATCCCTGAAATATATTAAACCATAGCCACGATCACAAAATCGTGTGATAAGTTTGCCACTGTAAACACTTAAAAGCCATAACACACTTGAATACTCAATGCAGCATGGCTTGTCTGTGATTTCCAAATACGTCATCTTTGCCTTTTGTGCATACCTACTTTCTGAACTGTCCTCACAATTTATTTACACCAATTGATGACAAATAATGATTGATTGGTATTTCTGCGGTTTTGCTCTGGAAGAACATGTTTTTTTTGGCAATTAATTGGTGACACATTTTCCCAATTTTGGTTTCCTAGAAATATGCGCAAAGATATTAATCGCTGATTATCATTAAGTGATCATGACAGAGTAGGCCCATTATTTTCCAATTACAAAAATAAAATTCATTGTTTTCAGCTCTAAGCATAATAATGCATGCAATCTGCATACATCGCATGTAAACTGACTGACTTATCGATTCATCAACGCACAGACGTAACGGCTGGAGCTACAATTTTGAAATTTTGGGTGAGGTCCGAATGGGTCAGATAAGGCTGGGTGTTTGGAAATTCGTACTAGAACGGTAGGAAAAGTATAAAAAGGTACTAAATATGGTACCCTTTGTATTTGAGGAAACAGTAGAGCTAGAACTCTTAAATTTTGAATGGGAATCGATGCTAAATTTAGTACCATTTGAATTTGGAGGAACGGATGGTGCTGGAATCCTGAAATTTGAAATTAAGATTACTGGCGGAGTGTATGATTGGATTATGGAGGAAGATTTCGACATTTTTCTTATGTGCATGAAAAGTACTAAATGATACTAAATTTGATACAATTTCTATTTGGGTGAACCGATAGAGCAGGAATTCTGAAATTTAGAAATATGATGTGGGTAGTTTTGGAAATGTGGAACAATTTAAATTTTGGGAGAACCGGTAGAGTTGGAACCCTGAAATGTAAAAATGTTGGACTGACTGTATCACTGTTGCTTTCTGTGGTTAAGATATGGAGACATATTTGTATATATTTGTACAAAAAGTATTAAATGGTACTAAATTTGGTATGGGTGAACTGACATGTGCTCGAATCCTCAATTTTGATATTGAGGTCACTGTTGCTTCCTGTGGTGGTTTTGAAAATAGTACACATTGTACGAAAAGTACAAAATAGTACCATTTTAGCATAGAGTCAAGGAATAGAGCAGAATACCTGAAATTTGATATGGATGTCACTGTTGGTGTCTGGGGAGAGGAGAAGGTACCGTTGGGTGTTGGGATAGGGATGGAATTCTGAAATTTGTTATCGGTCGAGGGTTTTCGGACATGTCTTGTATTACTGCATGAAAAGTATGGTAATGCATTTGGGATTGGATCTTAGTATAGAGCTGGAATTCTGGAATTTTATATGGAAGTCACTGTTGGTATATAATTTTGAGAGAAGCAGGTGAAATGGGAATTCGTACTATGATTGTTAGAAAAGTACTTAACTGTACTAAATTTGCCGTTGAGTGAATGGATATAATCCTGAAATATTATACTGAGGTCACTCTTGGATATGGTGGTGGCCAATTCTGATTATGAAAAAAAGTTGAAATCGTTTTGAACATAAACAAATAAAATAGCTGTAAGTTCGGCCGGGTAAAAAACCCTTTGAAAACCCTCCACCATTTGGAACAAAAAAAACCGTTAAAAATTCTTTTAAAATCACCAAAATACCCAATATATGGAGGTATCATTATATGGACCTACATGGCCCATTTTCAATACCAAAAGCCCTGCAGGCATAATATATATTTGAGTAAAATTTTATCAACCTACTTCATTTCGTTCGGAAGCTAGTGAGATTTCCACAGAGGGCGGACATCGCTAAATCGACATAGATTTGTATGCTGATCTAGAATATACAGGGTGAGATGAAAAAACTGCAACCAATTTCAGATTGCTGTCATTTCTAAGCCACTCGTCCGACAGCTGTTAAAATTATTTCGGTGACAGCTCATTATATTGTTTACAAGAGTACAAAAGCATTTTGGTGAGAATTTTCCAGAATTTGAATTATTCGTGATGGAATTCAAGCGTGATAGTGTGATTTCTTTTAGTTGATTAGAAAACCACATATATTCCATTCGGCAAATACTGAAAAATGAGCTCGGGGTAAAGCCATTGAAATTTCAAATAGAGTAGACTAGTTTGGGCCGCCATAACAGCCGTTGGTCGCTCTCCGCTCGTATTAATCGACCAGAATAAATGCCGAATATTATCGCGAATATATTCTGGAGGGTGTATTAAAGCCTTGAGTATGCAAACCGCTGACCTTGGACATTCCAACAGGACTCAGCACCATAGCACTCAGCACGCGCCACACAAGTATGGTTACAAAATGAGGTTCCTCGCTTCATTTCCAGCGAACAATGGCCACCAAAATCTCCGGATACCAATCCGTTGGACTATTGTGTCTGGAGTATTTTGGAAAGCAAGTGATAAAAAAAAAACCAAAGTGTCGATCACCTTAAGCAAGCGTTTCGCCGAAAATGGGCCAAAATACCGCAGAGCAACATTCGGGCAGCGTGTGATGGTTTTATTGAAGACCATAATTCGTGCCAAATGTGACCAATTCGAACAAATCTCAACATAAACTAAAATTTGATGATAAAATTTAAAAAAAAAAATTTAAAAATGATGGCGTTTGATTTTTTTGCATTTTTTTTTTATCTCACCCTGTATACACCTTGTGGTGTCTAAAATGTATATTTCGAGGTTTTACAAATGGAATGACAAAAACTTAATATACCTTCCAAACTGTGGTGGAGGGTATAAAAATCGGTTATCCTAGTAAAAATTTTGATATTCTTGCAATTCTCCCAAATAATGGAAGGTACATGAACTTAAAGTTGAATTAGTATTTCAATTTAAATAAATGTTGTTTCATGTTCTAAATCTGTAGGTTATATTTTTCTTATAAATACTCATGTCTGTTGGTTATATCTCATCATCGCTTATTGCATTTATATATAAATCAACATTGAATGATTGGTCCGGTCATCATTGAGAAGCTCTTAACAAAACTGGTAGCTGACACGAGAAGATGTGGGTATTTCACACTTTTTTCTTTTTCTTAAAATTCACACTTTTTTGGATTGATAAATAATTCTAGATAAAACACCTGTTTCCTTGTGTTTTTTTGTTTACTTTTCTTTTTTTGTCAAGATGTCGTTTACACAATTACGTAAATGCGATTTTCACTGAATTTCATTTGTTATTTTTATATTTTCGGATTTATTTTGGGCACAAAAGGTGATTTCGCTTTACCACCCAAAAAAAAGTCCATGTGTTTCAACAAGTGGCTGCTGAAAACTTCATGTCATTAATATACGCACATCTATATATGTATGTGTATCAGTTAATCTGTTAATGTATGTACATAATTTCATTTTGATAAACCACTTTTTTTTTTGCTGCCAAGATTAATTTATTCCAAAAATCTTGATTTGTTTTACACCAACAAAGGAAATTTCTTTTTTTTCTTCAAAATGATTTCACTTAAACCAAAAGAAAAAATTACACATTTCAATTCATTTTTTTTTCAAAATCTTGCGTATTTTGATAATTAAATTTGAACAAACAAACAAAAATCATTGATTAAACAAAAACATCCGGAGATTTATTTACGATCGAATCTGTCGCACTTTGAATTCCGGCATTGGATCTGTTTGTCTTGTTACATTTGGCACATCAATGAGTGTGGAATTTGGTTTTATGACTTTTGAATTGTTGTTGTCGTTTTAATTTTTTTTACCAAATATTTGAAATTTTGGCTAAATACCTTTTAAATTAATTAAAATATTTGTTTATTTGTTGTTTTAACTTTATGAGGTGGTTGTTGTCGTTATTGCTGCTGCTGCTGTTTATTAGCACGACAAGTTATTTTATTAGCAGAACTTCGTATTGAGAATGAGATCGAAAAATCGAAAATATTTGTGTGTTCCGTACGCGCGTCCGTTCTCTGTGGCTCACACTTGCAGAATGAATTGTGAAGCTGGTTTTAAAGAATATTTTTTGCCAGTGGAGATGACACCACCCTGGCTACTACAGACGATCGTTAAAACATCAGGGAGACAGTTTTTTTTATTTTTTGCTTTGAACAGCAATTCTCAGCAAAGAGAAGAAGATTTGCTAATCTTTCTTCACAGCAGGCGGGCAGTCAGTCAAGTTGAAAGCTGGGGACAGTGTACAATTTTAAAACTAATCATTGTCAAATATTCCAATTCCAATACGTATTGATTATAAATATATTACTTAGAAGGGTACACTGAATTCGTTGCCCGCCAAAGCCTATATTTGTATCTTCATTATTCACTTTTTGTTCTAATGCTGGGGAAGTTTGCCCGCATTTACGATTGATTTGTGTCAAGCTCAAATATAGAAGTTATTAGTTCATAGATCTTAAAATACATATAGTGTTGATTTTTGTTGAATTAATAATTCGAGGTAAATTGGAATTTCCATAGAAGAAATATGAGCGTCAAAGCGGAATCGATTGCAAATGACAAAATCGAAGAAATCGAATATATATCCAACTTGATATTTGTAATAATAAAGAATATAAATATTTGCAGATCATATACTTCAAAGATCAGTCAATCGTGGACCTATATGATCAATTTTCAATACCAAAAATTGTACGTATATAAAGTAAATTTGAGTAAAATTTGTTACCTAAAGTGGGAACTTTTGACCTAAAAATGGAAAATTTAAAATTCATGACTTGCAGGGATTTTGTACTTTTTTGCCTGCGACATATTGATTATTTTTTTTTATACCCTGCACCATACTATGGAGGGTATATTAACATTGTCGTTCCGTTTGTAACTCCTCGAAATACTCATGTCAGACCCAAAAAAAAGTATATATTCTTGATCAGCGTAAAATTCTAAGTCGATTTAGCAATGTCCGTCTGTCTGTCTGTTGTAATCACGCTATCTTTCGAACGAATTTAGATAAAAAGCTAAAATGTTGCACACATGTTTATTTTGCCAGTAGGCAGGTTAAATTCGTAAATGGGCCATGTAGGTCCACATTTTCATATAGCCCCGATATTCGGTATTTTGATAATTTTAGCGACATTATTCACCGGAATAATTCGTAATGGGAACTACAGTCTGTGACAGAAAATTGCCTATACAGGTCCAGGTCTTCGTATAGGCCCCATATAACGGTATAACCTCCCAATATTCGGTATTGTGACGATTTTACTGCTTATTAAATTGTTTCATTTCGCATTTTATCCGCAAGATCTACTGCATGAACCTAAACCGTAATTTTAATGAGGTTGGCCGTATCAAATGATAAAAGCTTTCAGTAGCCAAATGGCTGCGATTATATAGAGGAAAAATTCTCACTTTTTAAATATATAGTCAGGGTATACTTTTTCAAATCCTAAATTGTTGGGACTTCATTTTCCAAAGTTTTGTCGATTTTAAACTTTAAATTTTCAAAAAAAGTCGACTAAAATCATTTTCGGTTTAATATACAGGGTGAGATGAAAAAACTGCAATCAAATTCAGTCTGCTGTCATTTCCAAGGCACTCGTCCGACAGCTGATAACATTATTCCAGTGACAGCTCATTATATTGTTTACAATCGTACAAAAGCATTTTGGTGCGAATTTTCAAAAAAAAAAAAAAAAAATATTCGTGATGGAATTCAAGCGTGATAGTGTGATTTCTTTGTATTTGGCTGGAAACCACAAGTGGCTTTCATTAGAGCAATCCAGCATTTAAATGTGAATAAATCTTTTGTGTCTCGCACCATAGCTCGTTACCGTGATACTAGTAGCGTAGCCCGCCGTCAAGGAAGTGGACGGAAGAAAACAGCAACATCAGCAAAAAAGTAAAGAAGCGACTTGATCGAAACCCGCGTTGCAGTGGTCGAAAAATGGCTCGTGAGCTTAACATATCACAATATTCAATTCGGTAAATATTAAAAAATGAGTTCGGGGTAAAGCCATTGAAATTACAAAACGTACACCGCTACAGAAAGAAAATAGACTCAAAAGAGCTAAAGAGTTGCTTCTCTAGGCCGAAAGTGGTGAAATGTCTAATTTGGTTTTCTCCGATGAGAAAACATTCGACAAAATGATCGTGTGTACTTGGCAAGAGGTCAGCTGAAAATGTGCACCTTCGGTTGACCACTAGAACTCAAGCGCCGGCCATGGTGACAGTGTGGGCAGCATAGCAGCCGATGGTCGCTCTACGCTCGTATTAATCTACCGTGGCATCAGAATAAATGCCGAATTTTATCGCGAAAATATTCTGGAGAGTGTATTAAAGCCTTGGGCACACAAACATTTTGGCCGCGGACCTTAGACATTCCAACAGGACTTAGCACCATCGCAATCAGCACGCGCCACCCAAGAACGGTTACAAAATGAGGTTCCTCGCTTCATTTGCAGCGCACAAAGGCCACTAGAGTATTTTGGAAAGCAAGGTTGGCATTTGACATTCTACCAGTTTATCTCACCCTGTACTAGTAGTGCTTCACAAACACATTTGCCTACCAAATTTTGCTGGGCTATTTCTAGGTTATTTTGCCTTGTGAACGACGAACTTGGTCAGCATAGCTGTTGCACTTTAGGATATTTTGAACGTTTTGTCTACAATTTAATGCAATTTTTATCAATACTCACGTCTTGGAGACTGTTATTCCAATTTTTCGCTTTTATTTATTTTACTTGGTACAACAGGACATATCATGCATGTCCCGAACCACAATTTGTAGAATTTTAATTTATTTTAAAAACAACGCATGTTTTGAGATCAGTTGAATATTACAAAAATTGCAAATGTTTCAACACGGCCAGAACGAATTTTTAATATTGTCACGCCGTGCATGAAATTGCAGGTAACTAATTGTAAAAGAAAACAGAAAATAAAACAAATGGTCACGTTTATATCTTAAAAATTGTTCTTTAATATTTATGTAAAGGTAGGGTTCAATTCAAATTTAATTAGAAATATCTTATAGTTAAAATATAGTTATATATTAAAATAGTATGGTCAAATTTGCTCCTATTGCAGAGAGCCAATTTGGCGGTCCTCAGGATATAAATAAGATATAAATAAGAGGTTTACTACAAATTGAAATAAATTGTTAATAATGAACATCTAACGAAATTCACGGGTCCAATTAAATGTTAGAATTTCGATTCAGAGTCCGGGTTGTACCTCGGTGATGATGAATTTTTTAGAGATTGACAAGCAAAACAGGCAATTTCGATTACTGCAAAAATTCATTTTAAAAAATAGGAATATTTTGTATACCTTCCACCATACATAGTATGGAGGGTACATTAAATTCGTCATTCCTTTTGTAGCTCATCGAAATAATAATTTTAGACCCAACAAAATATATATTTTTTTGATCAGCTTAAAAAAACGATTTAGCCCTGTCCGTCCGTCTGTTGTAATCACGCTAAGTCAAAACGAATTAAAGCTAAAATTTTGCACAGATCTGTCTTTTGCACTCAGGCAGGTCAAGTTCGAAGATGGATATAACGGCACCTCCCGAGATTCGGTATTTTGATGATTTAGCCACATGTTTCAATGGAATTGTCTGAAAATCCACACAAGGAGTTCCTTGTGAGTACTTTACCCCCTGAAAGAGATTTGTCTATATAGGTCTACGATATATTATATCCCCCATATAACGGCACCTCTCGATATTCGGTATTTTTATGATTTTGATTGCTTCAAATGCCGTATATAAAGTTCCGAACAGTTACTACAGCCTATGACACAAATTACTTATACAGGACCAAGTCTTCGTATAGTCCCCATATAACGGTTTTCATTTGAGCGGTATTTTCCGACGGATTTTTTTTTTTATTTTTCAAGTTTCTTTCAAATGGTGGAGGGTATAAAAAGTTCGGCCTGCCTTTTACTCGTTTATTCGAAAAATAAGAATTCATAGTCTTAAAAGTTTGAATAACTTGTAGTAGTTCGTTGCCAGCGTGTCAAAAATAACAATTGGAAAGAAAAGACGTTTCGAAAAAAAACACCCAGTAATTTTTTTTATTTTTACAGGCACGCATCTAAAAATTTCCAGTTCATTCATTGTTCCTAACAATTTACAACGTGTTTTAAGTAACTCGAGATGCAAACTCTGAAATGCGTTTTTCTTAAAACAATGCTTTATGATCGTGACACCGACAATATGTGTATGTCCCCATTGAAGTATTTACAAAATAAAAAACATTGACATTCCCATTTAAACTCATTTAAGTTAAAGACCTAGTGTAGCCTTTTAATCTCACATAGCCATGATATTGAGATTGTCTTTACACATGTAAGTACCTTAAATAGCTGCAGTGTATTTTGGGTAAAAACTCTGCCTTTAAAACACGTTTAATCTCAATGCGTAGTAGTTAAATTACAGAAAACAAGTTGTTGGTATATTTGTAAAACCAAAACAAAGTATAGCATAAATGAAAGTAAAAAATATGCCAGATTTTTTTTTTTTTTTTGGTTACTTTAAGTGCAATGACAGATAATGACCTAGACTACTCAATTACAGCATTTACAACGTCAGGTGAATTACACTAAACTACAACTGTGGACACATAATGCAAAATATTTAAGAAAAGGTTTGAAATCGTTAAAATATAAATAAAAAAATATAAAACATCTTTAAAAAATCCGAAAGCTGATTTTAAGGTTTGAAATTCTAAGATTAACATTTTATGATAGGAATATAAAATATTGTATAATTAAAGACTGTTAACTCCCTCGTCATCAACAATTTTTCAAATGATTTGCCAATTCAAACACTGTGTGTGCTGCGTGCATGTCGTTCGATAAATGAGATAATCATGCAAACGTAAATCTTCTATCATCAGCTCTCTCTCAGAATAATAGCCTCACAGCTGTTATTAATTTCTCGTTTTTTTTGCTTTTAGCACGGGCTAAACACGTTTAATGTAGATGTCATAAAGTTGACCGGACAAGCAACAAATTCCAATTCCAATACCAACACCAACAGTCTAGACATTGGGGTTTTTCTCAGTTCTCTGAGCGAACCGGCAAAAAAAAAAGAAAACCGGCAATTAATCTTGTTCTGTGCGGTGACAATATGTCATCTAAAAAGCGGTTGTTGAGATGACAAAAGGTTATTGATTTATTTTTGTTTGTGTAGAAACTGATACGGTATTTTCCCAGAAGAAGAGAAAAAAAGAAGTTAATGGAAAAACAAGTACAAATTACGTACATACGAATTGTGTTTCCTTTAAAATTCATTTATGACAAGTAACATTTGAGCTTGACATCTAGAGGATGTTAATGTCTTTATTTCAATGTTTAGAATTCATAATGAATTTGACAGTGCTAAACCCTCAGATGGCTCATTTTGTATTGTTAATTAATAAAGAAGGTTTGATTTCATTTGTTTAATTGTTTTTATATTATTAAAAATCTGACTTCTTAAAATACACATTTAAAATAAAGTTTTTTTTATTTTGTTTTTGTGAATATAACAAATTAAAAAATTCCAGTTCTATCATAAGATCAAATACCGAATTTATTACCATACATTTCGTGAAGTTATTCTACGCCTGTCCAAAAAAAAGGCCAAAAAATCACAGGGACGAGAGAGAACTCCAAAAGTTCGTTTTTGTGTGCTGGTTATGATGAGAACAACATCTGCCAAATTTCTTTCTAATCGCCAAGAATATACATTGATATAGCTCCCATATATAACTTTCATCCGCTTTGAGATTTAGGCTCCTCAGAGTCGAAATATGAACTCTATAACAATGATATTCAGTACATGGTATCAAATACTGCTTAGAAATACATTTGGTAAATTTTGTCGAAATCGGTTAAGATTTACATATCGCTCCCACATATATTATCCAAAAGCAATTATATTTGATACGAGAGGTCACTACAGCATAAGTATATCTCCTTTACATTTAGTGGAAAACGACTCATATTAAGATGTAGCTTCCTTATTTATACATTTCACCCGATTTCAAGTCATATTGATCATTCAATAAAGATCATTGTTGACATTATTTACTTCAAACACAAAATCAGCAATTATTTTTTACTAGAAGCTCTACTAAGTATGCATAGTGATGTTGGGTATCATATTTTCGTCCCAGCCTGACTTTTGTCTTCTCCTTACTTGAAGACTTTGTCTTGAGCCAACAATAATTTTTATCCTAAAAAATGGGTTTTCGATTGTTTGTTTCTTAGCCGCTTTAGGTTAGTGTGTGCATAAATGTTATTACTTATTCAAACGACTAACTGTAAAAAAGGATTTTTTGCATAGTGCTTAGTGCATAGTACGAACTTGCACTCCTTCTTTCAACTACAGACACCAATTGTGACATCCAAATCAAATGTCAGGACTTCCGCTCTATTCTTTCACCCACTGCCAAATTTGGTACTATTTAGTACTTTTCGTACAAGTATAGTACACATTCCCAAAAACCACAACAAGGAGAGTTCTCAATATCAAATTTGAGGATTCCAGCCCTGTCCCTTCACCCAATACCAAATTAGGTACCATTTAGTACTTCATAGTACTTCATAGTACACATTCCCAAAACTACCTCTTTTTCCCAAAACTATGTCAAAACAATGGCCACCATATTATATTTCAGAATACTAGTTCTATCCTAAGACCTAATCCCAAATTCATTACCATACTTTTTCTAGAGTTATATATTAGGCATGTGCAAAACCATCTCCTTCTCTCCACCCTACACACTAACAGTGAAATCTATACTAAATTTCAGAATACCAACTTATCCCAACACCTAACGGCCCATTTGCGTTCATAGTGCGCATTTCCCAAATCACCCCCTTCTCTCTACTAAAGAAACCAACTGTGACATCCATATTAAATTGCAGGACTTTGGCTCTCACCAAATACCATATTAAGTAGCATTTAGTACTTTTGTAACAATTATAGTACACATTTCCTATACCACCCCCATATCTTACACATAAACTGAAATCTATATCAAATTTGAGGATACCAGACCTATCCCTTCACCCAATACCAAATTTTGTGCCATTTGGTACTTTTGATATAAATATTGGACGCATTTGCAAAACCAACACTAAATACAGAAAGCTTAATATCATCTGTATTCCAGCACCCAATTTAGTACTTTTTAAACAATTATTGTACACATTTCCGAAACCAGCTACAAAACTAAACTTTAGATACCACCACTGACATCCACATCAAATTTCTGAGTTTCAGCTCTATTGCTTCACCCAATATTTATCAATTCAATATTTAGTACGATTCGTACAAATATTGGACGTAATTCCGAAAGCACCCTCATATTTCAATTCCAGATACCAAGAGATACCTCCATATCAAACCGTTCACTATTTAAGATCAATACCAAATTTAGTACCATTTAGTACAATTATACTTCGAATATCCAAAACCAGCTCCTTCTCTCAACCACACACACACACTGTGACATCTATATCAAATTTGAGGATTCCAGCCCTATCCCTTCACCCAATACCAAATTTAGTACCATAGTACTTTTCGTACAAATATGGGACGTACTTTCAAAAACATATTCCATGAGTAATGTCATATCAAATTTCAGAATTATATCTATATCTATTCACCCAATACCTAATATAGTACTATTTAGTACTTAATGTATACTATAGTATTGTATAGTATAGTATAATATAGTATAGTATAGTAGTATAATATAATGTAGTATAGTATATTATAGTATAGTATAGTACTCTGTGTTCTCCCAGTATCAAATTGTACCAAAAACCCAGCCTTCCAGCCAACCCGGGTAGTAGCTAATCGCCCATGTACGCTCTCCCCAAATTATGGGAATTTCAAAGATAACCGATCGGGTCATAATTTTAACGTTCATATCGAGGAGGTAATCAAAAATTCGTTAATTCAAGGTTTACGTCATATTATCTTGTATTTATTTTTAAATTGTGAAAAAGTACAACTAAGTTATTTTCCGATTTATATTATTTCCAATAATACTTTCGCAATTTGTCTTATATTCTTTGGTGTTAATCTATGTAGTTTCTTAAATTAATTACCTTCCATTAATATTGATAATTAATTAACAAGCTTGAATTTCCAAAATCACAAGTTCGTACTCACCCTTTTCAACTAATGAAAACGCCATAGCCATTTATTTTAGATACGAATACAATATTTATTTTAAATAATTTATTTACACACACTTATGACAGTATAACAGTTTAAACGAATTTTAAATATTTACACGTTTCTTTTTTTTTCGTTACCACACCACGACTCCTCGTTGTGCTGCTACTGGCAAGTATTTGATAATGTGATGGCGCCTTAAGGTATGCTCTGCTTTTGCACAACACTCACACACTGCTCGTAAAAGCGAGTTACGATATTTGTTATAAATTTACACTGATTTGAACTGATGCATTTGCTTTTTGAAACGACACATTCTTATTGTACATACATATGAAGGATGGAAGGAAGGAGTTCTTTACTTATGTAAGGGAGATGGAAATAGAAATTGTTTAATATTGGTTAGTGTTTCGTGGCGCCTTTGACATTTCGCACATGTCTTTGATGATAGAAAATTGGCGGAATGGATGTTGGATGTGTGGGCGATTCTGCAAGACTTTCCAAAAACGAATATTGATCCTGATTTCTGGACTCCTTGGGTGGTGGGAATGATTCACCTTGATTAAGATTATTAAAAGGATTCTTTAGCGAATAATTAATGATGCCCGCATTTTCAAACTCATAGGGATGACTTGTGCCCGAGGGTCGTGAGAAATAGCCATTATCCAGAGCATGATGACTTATGGCCTTGGGTTGTAGGGAGTTTGTAAGTTGATAATAGTTACTCAAAGTCAACGGTACTGGTAGACCGGGGAAAGAACTGGTTTGATAACTTTGTGGAAATTGTGCCACTGCCGCCTTCGCTCCTCCTGGCAGAGGTATGCGGATAATCCGATTATTAAATTCTTCTTTATCGAGATTTTTCAAAAAGAATCGATGGAATTTCGAGGATACGACATAAACATAACCCCTGTCGTGTTCGGTTACTGTCATATCCGATACAAATTGCAAATGGGTGGTATCTTGGGCCAAAATATGCTGCTCATTGGTTATGGGATTCCAGGTGGCCACAGCAGTTTCTGTCACTGGGCTGAAAACAATGCTGCCATCTATGGGAGATACGGCCAAACTAATGCCCTGCGACGATTTCTTGCCCACCAACTTAACGGGCAAGACTTGATTGATGGCTATGGGTCCGGCACGCAATACTTCGCGGGTCACTGAAAATATTCTTTTGGAAAATAGAGTATGAAAATAAGTTGTTTTCATAGTAGGATACTGATTTTAAAAGTACTGCTCACCTATCTGTTGCAAATGGCTGGAAATACACGATGGCCTTTTGTGGATCGAATGTGAAACCAACAACGCCATCCATTAGCACAAATCGATCATTTAAAATATTAGCCTCGGCAAAATCTGGATCCGGATACATGGCTGGATGCGTCACTCTCCATGTGGTGTCGCGTACACTGTCGTACACAACAATACCTGGAAGGACAAAATATTTTATAAGAATTAGTAGGACTTTTTTAAAGCCAAAGTACAGGTTACACATGAACAGCGACTGTAATACGAAATGTCAGATTTTAAGTACTTTATTTTCTTGCACTTATAATTTGATGATTCCAGCCCTATCTCTACACCCAATACCAAATTTTACCAAATTTCGTACAGCTTAGTACATTTTGTAGCTTCAGCTTCACCCTTCCCACACTTAGTACACATTTCCAAAACCACCTTCATATATCAAACGCACTTTCCAATCTTCATTCTCATACCAAATCTCTATCCCTTCACATAATACCAAATAGTGCCATTTTAGAGTTTTGGTACCATTTTAAAATTTTTCGTAACCTTAAAGATCGAATTTCTTAAAACCCTTTGAAACATCTATCCTGCACTCTATCAGTGACTCTCATTCCAAACTTTCAGAATTCAAGTACTATATGTTCACCCAATAGGAAATTGTACCAAATATTGTACTATTTAGTACTTTTCGTGTACTTGTACTACATAACCACCATCATCCTAAACTATATTTTTATTACAATCCTACAACAGGGACCCTAATACAAAATTTACACTTAAGTTCTAATTTTAATAAATACCTACATCATACAGTCTTATTTTCAAATTTCAGGATTCCAACTCTACTAGTTTACCAAAAATTTAGACACAAGTACGAATTTCCAAAGCTACCTACATTTCTCAGTCCTACAATGCAATGGTAGCCTTATTTTCAAATATTCGGATTCCAATTCTTCTGGTTCTCTAAAATTTAATTCGCACCAAATTTAGTACAAAAAAGTACGCGTTTCCAAAACTACCTACATTCCTCTGTCCCAGAATGCAATAGTAATCTTATTTCTAAATTTCAGAATTTCAGATCTACCGGTTCACTCAAATCAAAATTGTACCAAATTTAGTATCATTTAGTACTTTTCGTGCATATAAGTACAAATTTTGAAACTCCCTCCGTCCCTCTACAATTCAAATTGTACTAAATTTAGTAAATTTCATATACACAGGTAAATACTTCCAAAACTATCTCCTATCATCGACTCTACTCCTCAACCTTGATTCCCGTTCCAAATTTCATGTTTTTAGCTATAATCGTTCACATAATATGAAGTGGTACGAAATGTAGTACACTTTAGTACTTTTCGTACATTTATGGTGTGAATTTTCATGTAAATCCACCGTATAATGGTACCTCCCAATATTCGGTATTTTCGATGATTTTAGCTTAATTTTTTCAAAAGAATTATCTTTAAAATGGTGTTTGGAATTTGTAAACGGCATTACCTTCTCTGGCAGGCAATTGGCATTAAAAGTCCATGTTTTCGTATAGCCCCATATAACTGTAACACCTGATATTTGGAATTTTAAAATTATAACGGTATATTTCAAGGGAATCGTTTCGGTTCGGCCGAGCTTAGATGGTTTTTTTAATAGTTGTTTAAACAGAAGTACTCGTGAGCGCTCCCAATAAAGTAAACTGCTTATGTATTCGTATTCTTCTAGCGCACCCACTCGCGAGCATTTCTAACACGGGAAAAGAGATTGTAAACTACTTGTACAACTCGTGATCGAAATTTGTTCGATTTTTTTGGAATCTGGAAAATTTCGAAAACATGCTCTTCGTATTATGTGAAGCGAATTGGCTGTATTTAAACTTTTTATAAGTGTTGGTCAGTGAGCCACAACCAGAATCTTCTTTATAAGATTTACTAAGTATTTTCTGTTGTATTGAGAAACAATAAATTAGACATTCAAAATCGTACGAAATTTTCTGAAAGCATCCGAAAAACTCGTTCGAATTAGAGTAAAGAGTAAAACTCACTCAAAGTCCTGGGGGTAGAAAAAACAAAACGAGCAAACTCTATTTTACAGTTTCGATCGACTAATGAAGCGACTTGATCGAAATCCGCGTCGCAGTGGCCGGAAAATGACTCGTGAGCTGAACATATCGCAATATTTAATTCTGCAAATACTGAAAATGAGTTCGGGGTAAAACCAATGAAATGAAAAGTGCAAGAACTTACACCGCAACAGAGAGAGAGAGAGAGAAAAGACTCAACAGAGCTGCAGAGTTGCTTCGCTTGGCCGAAAGTGGTGAACTGCCGAATTTGGTATTCTCCGATGAGAAAACATTCGTTGTCCAGCAGTTTGTAAACAAACAAAATGATCGTGTTTACTTGCCAAAGATGTCATTGAAACCAATTCGAACAAATCTAAACTTTTTCTAAAATCTGATGCTATTTCCGACATTTTCAAAATAAAATTAAAAACAATGTAAAAATTATGGCTTTTGACTTTGTTGCAGTTTTTTTATCTCACCCTGTATTCCTATGTATGAGTATTTTCTCCAACCTCAACAGCAATGCGAGAGTTTATCCCCTGTTCTACCAAAATAATAGCCTTTTCTTTTGGAACTATTGATGTGATTTACTCTATCTCCAAAAAACTATAACCTAAACAAAAATTATAACCTCAAAAATTAAGGAAAAATTCCAATAAATCATCGAGGCGGATATGAATCCAATTTGGTAAACCAACCAAATAAATAAACTGCTTTCAATATCAAACCATTTTCAAAAACAAAAAAAAAAAAAAAAAAAGCCAAAAAACTGAATTTTTGAATTATTTTTCTTGAATTGCAACCAAATAAATCAACATTAAACCACTGCCATAAATTATATCACGCAATTGCCTCAATACAACAACAAAAACCAAACAATGGTCTACTGACTTTGGCAAGTCTTGTGGTAAGATTCTTACAACAAATACCGGCGAATTGTTATTTAATCATGACCACAAAAGAATGAAGTCCAATAATTTGGCCAAGCATAAATTAAAAATGTTGTCGGTTTGGTTTTATTTTTTTCTTCTCTCCAACTTTTCCAAATGCATTATTTACTTACCCGGTTCCACTGTATCCGATATATAGACAAACACATTATCGCAAGTGCCTGCCTTGGCCGTTGTCTCATCAATTACCAGATTGGTAAACAACGACTCGCCTCTGAGGACGCCAGCAGGAAAATCGATGCGCCGCACCACTTGATTTGTTTTGACGTCAAACACCAAGATCTTGGGCGGACAGGTTTTCTCATAATCCTCGAGGGAACGTGAAATACCAGCATCCAAAACCCATAAACGACCACAAGAATCGACGCGCATGCGATAAACCGAAACCAGAACCAAGTCGCTGCAATTAAAGTCAGTGCGTCCAGTGGTGGAGTATGACCAATCCGGGTAGGCCTGCAACAGAAAAAAATATTGTTTGCCATGACTTCTGCCAAAGAAAAAAAGTTATAATAACTTACATTCAAGACAGGTGACTCATCGAACTCTCCCCGGGAAATCCAACTCAGCGTTGATGGTACCCCAGCAAACAACTTGGGCGTGGCCATAAAGATGCGATCATTCATAACCGCCAAACCGGTGGATAAAATATTCGCTGGATTATAAAAGTTCACATCTTGGACCGGAGCATGAGGCAGGAAGTTGTATGTGAAGACTTTCCATTGCTTAACCACTTCCAACGATGATCGCCGAACATGACCATGCGCATGCGTCTGCACGTGCCCATGCAAACGATGGCCGGCAGCATTGAGGTGCACACCAATGCACAAGTTCACCGGCAGCAGTATGGCCAAGACAAGGCCAAAGCATAATTTAGACGTCATAATGGTTGCAGCCGTATGACTACAGCAATCTTGGCGGACACAGAGGCCAACAACTGGCAATTTTGCCTACCTACCCAACACCACGGCACAGCACAGCCAGCCAACAAGTTGCTGGTATTTTATCTATTGGGGGTTTTTAATGGCCTTCTGCTGCACTTAATAACTGACTGACAGAGTGACGAACTGACGGACTGACTATTGCGACGTGTTGCTGGTTGGTTGCACTTTTTGGAGCCTATGGAAACGTACCCGAAAAAATGTTTGCTCGTAAAAATGTTAATGAACCAACAACAACAGCGGTAGCAGCCACAACGGCTCGGCAGATCGTTAAAAGGCGTTGGGTAAATGTCTGAAAAGAGAAAAAATCGAAATAAAACGTTACAGCCCCAACCATGTAATTAATTTGCTAATTTTATTGGTCACATTAAGCGGCCATATTTGGCTAAACGTCAATATTTTATAATCGTTTAATGTCAACATTATGTTCGGTAGTCAATTATTGTCAGTTTATGATTTATTGGCCAAGTTTGGTCAACTTGTTTGAAGGAAAGGCAAAGTAACGGATAGAAGTTTAAGTACCATAATTGAGATAAATTCGAGATAACGAGATGATTTAAAAAAAAAAAAATTGTACCTTTTTCTACAAAATCGTGTCCATGGGGTAACAATTTTTCAAATTTAACCAAATTTTTGAGGATTTTAGGAAAAAAAGTTTTGAAAACAAGCAGTAAAAATATTTTTTAAAAATGAATTCCAAACATGTCCATATTTTCGCCATATTCGAAAAGTATATAAAGTTAAATAAAATAATATCGAGATGGTCCTTGTTTGTTTTTATATCCTCCACCATAGTATGAAGGGTATATTTAGTTTGTAACACCTTTAAATATACATTTTAGACCTCACAAAGTATATGTTCTTGATCAGCATAAAATTGTATGTTGATTTAGCGATGTCCGCCCGTCTGTGGAAGTCACTCTAGCTTCCGAACGAAATGAAGTAGGTCGATAAAATTTTTCTCCAATGTATATTATGTCTGCAGGACTTTTGGTATTGAAAATGGGCCACGTTTTGGTATAGCCCCCATATAGAGGGTGAGATAAAAAAAACTGCAACAAAGTCAAACGCCATAATTTTTACATTTTCTCTACATTTTATTGAATGAAAGCAAAAAATATCGGAAATAGCATCAAATTTTAGAATGAGATTTGTTCGAATTGGTCACCTTTGGCCTTCAAATGGCAAAGGAAACCGTCACACGCTGCCCGAATGTTGCTCTGCGGTATTTTGGTCCTTTCCCGGCGAAGCGCTTGATTGAGGTAGTCGACACTTTGGTATTTTTTAGTGCCAACCTTGTTTTCCAAAATACTCCAGACACAATAGTCCAACGGATTGGTATCCGAGGATTTTGCTGGCCATTGTGCACTGGAAATGAAGCGAGGAACCTCAATTTGTAATCATTCTTGGGTGGCGCGTGCTGAGTCCTTTTGGAATGTCCAAGGTATGTGGTCAAAATATTTGCGTGCCCAAGGCTTTAATACACCCTCCAGAATATTTTCGCGATAATATTCGGCATTTATTCTCATGCCACGGCCGATTAATACGAGCGGAAGGCGACCATCGGCTGTTATGGCGGCCCACAACATCAGCATGGCCCGCGCTTTAGTTCTGGTGGCCAATCGAAGGTGAGCAGTTTCAGCTGACCTCTTTGGCAAGTAAATACGATCATTCTGTTTGTTTACAAACTGATGGACAACGAATGTTTTCTCATCCGAGCAAACCAAATTCGGCAGTTCACAATTTTCGGCTAAGCAACGCAACTCTTTAGCTCTTTTGAGTGTATTTTCTTTCTGCTGCGGTTCTAGGTACTTGCACTTTTGGAATTTCAATGGCTCTACACCGAGCTCATTTTTCAATATTTGCCGAATGGCATATTGCGATATTTTCAACTCACGAGCCATTTTTCGGACACTGCGACGCAGGTTGCGATCAAGTCGCTTATTTTACATTTCGAACCATTTCTGCTAATGTTGCTGTTTTCTTTTGTCCACTTCCTTGACGTCGGGCGCTACCAGTACCACGGTAACGAGCGATGGTGCAAGACACAAAACATTTATTCACATTAAAATGCTGGAGTGCTCTAACGATAGCCACTTGTGGTTTTATATTTGGATGAATGAAATTAGAAGCTTATTTCGCTTTCTTTGAGCGTTGTGTTTTTCAGAATCTTGAATCCTATGTGGGGGAGGTACCAGAAGAAATGGTCCTCTATCATTTTTATAACAGATTTTGTGTTGATGGAAATATTGAGATATACCAAGTCTGAATGGAATCGGATGTTAATTTTGTGTTTACCCCAGATTTTTGACTCGAAAGTCCGGGTCCAAAACTCGGGCTAGACCCGGATTTACTTACCCGATATATGCAATATATAGATATCGTTTGAAGGTTTACCTATCCAACAAGTGATCACATGACGGGGTTATTAATAGCGGTTCGGAAGTTATAGTCAGTATATCAATTTTTTGTACCAAGATTTTTTATAAAACTCCAAAAAATCGAAAAATGGTCCATTATGGTGCCAAATTATAGCTGAAACTCTTACATTTCCAAAATGATACAATTTGAGCTAATACTGTTTTCGAGTCCAGAGATAAGGGTCTTTCCACCCGCATAATCCGATTCTAACCAGTTCATTAAAAGTATGTTTTCAATAAAAAATCTCATGTGACCACTTGTTGGATTGATATTTTATCATACCCTTTCCAACGATAATTATATTGTCTATATAGGGTAAGTGGATCTGGGTCTAGCCCAGGTCTTGAACCCGGACTTTTGGGTCAAAAATCTGGGTTCCCGAGGCCGTCCCCAAGTTTCCCAGAATCAGGCTCAAATTACGTATCACTGGAAAACAATTCAAAAAATTGAAGAGTTTTTACTAAACTAGAGTTAAGCCATAACTTATAGTGAAATTTGATGAAGGATATTTTTATCTTTGATGCCATTCATCTAAAACGATGTTTTGCAGATGATTTTTGCATAAACGCACATAATGTACGGCTTTTTTTTGTTGTTGCAAAATGGTTAGGCTTTATCCCTTTATTGTTGTTTTTATAAAAACAACGTTTGTTTTATTAGTGGAGAACGATGGTAATGTTTACCAGGGGGTAAGACTGGGAATACCTAGGTTTCGGAAAGAGCCACCAATCCTCATCAGTTCCCTTGTTTTTTGTCTGGGATATTCTCCCCAGAAGTTATTTTAAAAATAACTTCTATGACAAAAAACATTTTTTACCCAAGTGACGAGATCGTAAGCTCAATAGAAGAGGAACCAAAGAATTAAATAATACTAAAATTCTTTTGGAAAATCTTCTAAATCTTACAACCGCACTTATAAACATTTACATCTTTCTCCACTTGTTATGCTTTCGTTCAACCTGAACGAAGTAGCATAACCATGTAAGTTGGTTTTGTCTGTTACAACAAAAACCCCTTCGTCGACCGTGCCTTGTCTATTAATAGAACAGTGTGGCTTGTTTGTTCGGGATACCGTAGTATTTTGTTTTTTGTACGGCTTTATCCCTTAAACGCGTTTTTAACCATATTTTTTAAAAAAGGACCAAAAAGACCCCTTGGTTAACTCGTTTGAGGGATACAATTTTCGACCAAAATGTTATTTGTATTTTTTTCTGAATTTCAAATTTTATGCCCTCAGCCATATGGCTACGGAGGGTATATATCAGTTGATACGGTCAAAACGAAATAACGGTCGATCGAGCGATGTCGGTCGTCCGTTTGTCTGTCTGGCTGGCTGGTGCGCACATAAACTCTCGAAGGGTGTATCCGATTTGGTCCAATCTTGGTACATTGTAATATTATTATTAAACTTAGATCAAGTTCGGAGATGCGCAATATCGGTTCACTCCATCTGGTATCTCCCACACAAAATGTCAACATTTTCAGAGAAAATAATTTACTGCACAGAGAGAGAAAGTATAATCCGATTTTGATCCAACTTTCCTAATAAATCCTAATATTTGCATGAGTGAGAAAATGGACAATATCGGTGCACTCCATCAAGTACCTCCCCCACAAAGGGTCAACATTTTGAATAATTATAAAATGTGATATAACAGTCCGATTGTCTTTAAATTACACACATTAAAATATTTTTAATAACCGAAGGTCTGGTGAGAAGATGGAATATATCGGTCCACTTCTTCTGGTACCTTCCCCGCAATGGCTCACAATTTTGAATGTACATGAAGCTCATAAAACACGAAATTAACATCCGATTCCATTGAGACTTGGCACATCTCAATATTTCCATCAACACAAGATCTGTTAAAAAGATGGTACAGAACGGAAATGTCTTCTGCTTCAAGATTTTGAAAAAAAAAAAACATTTTTACCAACACAAGATCCGTTATGAACATGATGATATATATCTGCCATCCCCTTGTTGTACTTCACGCTCAAAGGGTCACAATTTCCAATACTTATATCTGTCATAACTTGCGAAACAAGTCGGCGATTCTTTAAAAATTGCTATTTCTAAATATTACTCTTAACCAGAAATCTGATATGAATATGTAATTTATCGGAATTTATGATTGCACATATATATATATATGTATATATATATATATATATATATATATATATATATATATATATATATATATGTATATATATATATGTATATATATATATATATCTATATATATATATATATATATATATATATATATATACCTATATATATATATATATATTATTGGTCAAAATTTTGAAAGCAAAAGAAGAGCATTTTAAAAGCGCTCGTACAATTTTTTTTCTCTTTATGTGATATCCAATTTCTCAAATTTTGGCTTGAACAAAACATATATGCTAATCTTTATCAAATACTTCCAACAGGTTTCATTATTCATTATTCATTTTTTTTTTTGGTTTTGTACTACGCTTTATTCAACATATAATGTTTAATTTTGGTTAATGAAAAAATTTAAAAAGTTCACCACAGAAGAGTCTAAAGCAAAACAAAAGACTTAAGACACGAGCACATTAATTAGGAGACAGTTTTCCATCACATAAGAAGAAGTGTATTTTAATCTCAAGGTCAAACAAAATACAATGGTTTCCCCTGCATTTTGCTCAAGGTCGAAAGAAAGTCTCACTCCGCTAAAAGGAAAAAAGTAATATGCCCTCTTTTGAAAGTAAATCAAATGGATTATTTTTAATTGGCGGCATAATTTATCCAACCACAAAAACACCTGCACATTATGCACGCTTTTTCGAATAGTTTCACAAATTGTAACATTAATTTGATTTCGTTTTATTTGATTTTAC